TCTGGTATGACTTCACAGATGCAGCCATGACTATCTTCTTCTGAGTGCAAAATAAAAGTAATTTAATACCTGTGGGAAAAAATGAGTCATTTGACACTTTTGTACAAATGAAAGACTAGAAAGAAATTACTTACTTATGCCAAAATAGAAATTAGTAATTTGACAACATGTTTATCAGTATTTTGACAAATGGGTAGGTGTAGGTAGTTTAATAGCTTCTGTTACAGCCTAGCTATAAAGCTGCAACAACAACAGGAGACAAGATAAGCAGAATGAATAACATCAGTCTCGGTATCAGTGGTGTAAGCTTCTATGGGAGTGTAAACAGAAGAAAGGAAGCAGAAATGACAAGTATGGGGAGACAGCCAGCGTCTGAAGGGCGAGCCGGATTTCAAGATGACTACACCAGGACCAGGTATAGCTCATCACCCAATGACCTCATTTTAACCTTGACCTGCAACAGAAAAAAGACCTGAGCAAAGTGGCAAACCACATGGAGTAGAAATGATGCTCTGACACTGAATACACCTAAGGAGTTTTACAGCTGTTTAGAAACAGCAAATTTGATATGTGTGTTGAAAAAGAGTTTGTTCTCTCTGTAGAAATAAGCAAACTTAAATCGATTTAACAGTGAGAAATTTTATAAATGTGTAGAAGTTAGTAATTTGATACCTGATTGGAAACCGGTTTGATGTATTTGTGTACTTAGGTTTTTAAAGCTGCTGTGAGGAGTTTTTGTGATGTTATATAACAGACTGAAATAAACAGTGATGTTTCTTTATGATGTAAAAAAGCAAATGAAACCATTGATCGTGAGATTAAAAATTTTTATGGGGTAGGTACACTAAACAAACAGCCTTTCTTACTTTTCAATAGTCATGGTGAATGATAAAATTCACTGGGAAATGACAGAGGAGAAGTTCCTTACAGGGGCTTTAAAAAAAGAAAGTAATTTGATACCTGACTGTGCAATAAGAAGTAATTTGTTTTTTATGTAATGAAGAGTAACTTGATATGTGAAAAACAAGTCATTTAAAACCTTAATGATTTGATTTACTGTGTAAAGATGAGTAACATGATACCTTTGTAGAAATAAATAAAGTAGTATCCATGTGGAAATTTGCAGTTTTGTATCTGTGTGGAAGGAACAAGCAGTCTCATGTTGTCACATGTGCGTCTGTCCCCTCAGCCTGCTAGAATCTGCCCTCTTGGTGAAAACACAGAGAAAGTGTGAGTGAGAGAGTACAGCAGAGGAAAAGTGCAGGGTGACACATTTCTCAGCAGCAGGTGAGTGACCCTCCTCTCACTCCTCAGACTAATGAGAGAGAATGAAGGCAGAGCCTCAGGAAAAACTGCTGCGCTGCGTTTACGTGCTCTCTGAATCTCATGAATTAAACTTCATTTAGTTTATGGTACCAAAAAACAGCTCCATATTTATATAAACATGTCAATATTAGTACCTAACTCCATTTGATCTGCAGAATCTCTTCTAATCTTGAGAAAAAAGGAAAGACAGAGTTCTTCTATGTGCTGAAACTGATGCAGATTCGACAGATCTGCAATATAATGTTGGCATGAAACAATGCTAGGCCACATTGGTCTCATTCTTATCAGAATTATCCCTGACAAACCAGGATACAAGTATTTATCATTTACACAGGGATATGAATAATTTCTGACAAAACTATATTTTTTTCTTCTTTCTAACTCAAATATGTTTTAAGAAGGGGGGTGCATTTGAGACGGTTTTGGTCAAACATAATCCAGTTTTATTGTAGGTGAGTAGAGATTGATTCCACTTGGATCAAGCTGACACTAATTACAGAGCTCCTCTCTGATTGGACAACAGGTATCACAGCATAAAAGTTTGGAAAATTAGCACACTGATTTGTTTGGCTGATAGGTCAAATATTGTTTGTCAGACAAACAAGATCATTTTACCATAGATGATAAATGTGTGCTTTTACATTCAGTCAAGCATTTGCTCTTGGTTTTCAACACTTTAAAACCCTTTAATACAGCCAAGTGTAAGCTGTCATTATGTGCTCATAATGTGAATTGTGAATCCTCTATCTATCTATCTATCTATCTATCTATCTATCTAAATGCATCACCTACAGTATTTGATCGATAACTACAGTATATCCGCCAATACTAACAATTAACTTTTTCAGCTATTATCTTCAATGCCAAGATTATGCTGATAATATTATGCATCCCTAATCATGTTAATGTTGGTTCTAATGGGAAGATAACAGAACACCCAGTGCATCACAGTTTGTTGTGTACAGCATTGCAGGCTGAGGGTGTCCATGCTGACCCCCGAACACCACTGAAAGCATCTACTGTGTAATGGACACATGGCCATCAGGACTGGATCACATTGTAATGGCCTGAGGGAAGACAATGAATACAGATGTCTCCAAATTCCTTAGACCACAACCCAATTAAGCAGCTACCCGATCGACTGTATAACCGACCAAGTGTCTTAGTTCCCTAAATTGCTGACTCCTTGGTCCTCAGGCAAACTGGCAGTGGTCACAGACGCACAATGTTAAGAAGCATCCCATGGCCCTTATTGCAGCTTAAAGAAGAGGGGATGGATGAGAAAATTTGGAGAAATGATAACCTAGGATACACGAGAGCAGCCTTTATAGGAGTCTCTTGACTGATATACACACCCCCTTATCAAATATCAGCAAAGTGGTAAAGCGTAAGATGCACTTTACAGAATCTTTACAAAATACCCGAAGTTCAACAACAAAGAAGAGAGAAGACAAACTTTGAAACAATCACCAAGAGCAGCCTTGAACATTTAAACATGTCAGTTTCCAAATAGACAGTATTTGGCTGGGACCTGTCTACCAAGAATGATTTCAACCGTCTAGAATCTGTATATTTTTAGACGGAATTTAGACATTGGACTTTAACCCATTATCCAATAACTGTGAGCAACTGTGAGTTACATAATTGAACTCCAAGTACTTAACCAAAATAATTATGATAGCCATTGAGCAATATACAGTGTAGTATAGATATAGACGAGATTTAGACTTGGTCTAAACTTAGACATCTAAAAAAACTGACCTGTGGTAGCCTGATTTTAGACCAGTTGTCTAGGCTACATTTAGACGTCTATTAGACCTCTTTTAGACCAAAAAATGCTCAGTGGGATAGAGCATAACTCTAATCAAGTAAATAAACCACGATAGCTTCTCAATTTAAGATCTGATCATCTTACTGAAATAATGTCACAAAGTCTAAATATCGTGAGAATAAAAAAGTTTTGCTCTTGCTTTTTCTTTTTTCCTCTTTGATGTTATTGTAGTAAAGATTAAGCTCTATCTTTGGTTAAAGGGTTTTTTTTCTATTAAAGCAGTGAACTCTTTTTACATTATCACCACATCAAAAAGTTTAATACAACATGAGAGGCTGACCATTAATGCGTGTTAGGTTTGAAAAGCGTCACATGATTTCTATTTTCACCAAAATATAACACACAATCAATAATTTAGTTTTCTTGAGGAGAGTTATCACAATGTACTGTGTGTGCAGAGAGCAGCAGCTGTTAAAGCTGACTGGCAGCAGACCTAGCAGCGATCAGCTGATGCTTTCATCACATAGGAAGTTGTTTCATGTGATGTTGTGTAGGAAAAGACGTCTTATGTCTTTCATCCGCTCCCTCTCTCCTTTCTTCAGTTCCTTGCATCCTTCTGTACATCTCTTGTGTGAGGGACTAGGACACAATGAAAATTCATAAGTGAGGGATGCATAAAAACAGCTCAAACCCAAGTCTAATCTAAGGAGGTCCAATCTTGTAGCTGCCAGGACTTTAGGGATCTGCTGCTTTTGTCTTGGTGCCAAATATGACAGCATACCTTCAGAGAGCTGGAGGAGTCCATGCCTTCTCAGGTCAGGCTGACCTGAAGAGAGGGGGGGCCCACTTAACTTTAGGCTGGATGTAATAGTTGGCCTAAAACTTTAAAAAAAAAAATCCAGAATTAAAATAAATTTTGAATAAAAGGAAGAGCCAGAAGTATGTATGTATGCACACTCCAGTTGAAGTACAGATACTTGATTCAGACGCCTCTTTGGCAGGAACTAAATCACTCTGTCTGTTTGTCTTCACATATCTATCACGCCGTTTTCTTCAGGTTACGCCTGTTGTGTTTCTGAGCCACAAGATCCACTTAGAAACAGCTTCGATACCAGCCATTGTTCACGTATTTATGCTAAAGTCAGCTTTGGTGTATAAAGGGTAAAACAACCGTCAATGCTCTTGCAATGTAATGTTTTCTTACAGAGTCATGGAATGATATCGGTGTGATATCGAAGTCCTTTTACTACAGTCCTTCAGAACCCTAAAGATAAAAAAATGCAAAAACAAAGTAAAACTATGACCACAACTTGAGAAACAAAATGACAAAAATAACACATTGCATTTTCTCTCAGTCCTGCTGCTGTGTTGACCCTTGACCTCGAGTCATGTGGCTAAATTTTCCTTCTGTCACTGAAGAAGAGTCTCTCTGTGATTCCTGGTTAATATGTTAACTATTGAGAGGTCACACAGTGATGGAATTTGTGTTAGATGTTAATAAATGAGGTTTGGAGTGGAAAATTTAAACAAAACTGCAGCTCTTTAACTGTTTTATGCAGCCAAGCATCAAATGAACCATCAGGAGTTTATTTTAGAGTCAAGCGAGGAAAAATTTTCCAGAGGAAAGTTCAGGAAAATGTGCACTAACAATGTTCACTGTTCTTTAAAGTTCTGGTGAGTTTTGTAAAACACATGAATATAGTGGAATTAAAGATAGGGACACATGCACAGTACTCACACTGTATCAGACACACACACACACACATGCAGCAGCTGCGGGACACCAACCAGCAACAAGCAGTTCTTTGAATGAGCTGTGACAAGGTGTTGTTCTTTCTCCCTCCCTCCCTCTGTCTTCTGTCTTCCGGGAACGCTAATAGGCTCCATGCAGAGTAATGTGACCGATTGAATCATCCTCGCCAGAGCTGGAGGCTGCAGAGCGGAGCGCGCTCAGTCCGGCACCCACACTGAGGAAACTCTCCGGGATAACGCGTCCTGTCGGGACTCCTCTGGGACTTTTACAGGGACACTAGCTGCTCTCTTTCCATCCACCTGGACCCCCTTGGCTCGCTTAGCAGATCTCAGACCAGCTCTTGGGGTGAAAGGTCGGAGGGCCCCGTTCAGGCCTGACTGCAGCGCTCGGTGAGTGTGATGATGGGCAATCTGAGGCCCTCAGACAGGGACAAAAAAAATCAAATCAGTTTAGATCTGATTACCATGCCAAACCTAATTTAACTTTTTAGCCTTTTTACATATCAGTCAGGGCTTTTGATGGTTAAAATAATAAAGTTAGGAAAAACTTTCTGTGCGCACAAGGGCATGTGAAAGTCAAGACATCTTTGATGGATGGGTTTTCCTTTTAGACCTGAACACTGTAGAAGAAGTTAAAACCTGCAGAATGAACGCTGCATTAACCATCCTGGAGGTCCTTTAGTTTGCTATTAAGACACCCATTTCTGTCTTGCGGTTGCAGAATAAGCCTCGCTCCACAAAAATGTCTGCCCTAAAAGATGATCATGTATTGCTTTCATTATGAAGAGACGACTACAGTCGGTCTAAGAGTCAAGCAGCCTGAGGATGTGTAAAACAAAGTGTTATTTGTTTGGCTGCTTCATGTCCTTAAATTACAAGCTGAATACATTCATATGGATGAATTTTAAAAATTCTAAGTTTTGATTATGTCGGTGATCATAGTCACAGAGTTAGAAAACAGGGGTTTGCTTTTGAGACAATGAGAACAAACGACATTGAATAAGCATCTAATTTCCTAAACTTTAGCAGAAAAATAAACTTTTCTGATTGTGAAATAAGTGAAAAATTAGTTCAAAATGAGAAACTGTAAACTCTGAAAGGCCATGATATTAAAACAGAAGCATAAACACTCTGAACTCAAAGACTGTAAATCCAGAGTGATGTATGTGCAGAGTGTGTGAACAGGTAGAGATTATTTTTGTAGAAAAAAAAAGTACTTCTAAGGATTTTTGTTTCCTGTTGAAATGTTTCTGCTTTGCATTAGCGGATCTGTTTTAAAGGGAACACAACAGCCCCAAAACAAAACATAATGAATGAATGAACACATTGGCAAGGAAAGATTGATCTTTAAAAACTGACTGGAAAAGTTCTAAATTATGTTATCATCAATGTATTAGGATTTTTGATCAAAACCCATTAGGCCTCTCTACGCCACGACTTGTCCAACAGGTGAAAAGAAGAGTAGTAGGAGTTAGTAGTCACAGTAGAAGTTTTATTTACAGTCAATGCAGTCTGAATATTCATAAAGAGATTTTCCGTATCCGATTTAATGACCTCATAGAGTTCATACTTGAACATTTGATAGAGTATATCTGATCTCTGCTGTGAAGGATCTGCTTCAAAGTCTGGACTAAACCAAACATGAGACTCTGATCATGATTGTCTGTCTGCAGTTTGATAGTTGTGACTTTCAGTTTGATCCCACCCGACCCTGAAAATACTCTCAGCGAATGAAAACTGTATTCATGTCTGATTTTTTCAGCAAATTGATTCAGTGACGACCACAAACAGGCTCCAGGAGAAAATATTGTATTTTTTTATACGTCATCAGTTTGTGACCACTGGAAAGGCCAGTTTATCAAAATACCATGTTTGATAAGATGGAGTTTTTCACTGCTGAATAGAAATAAATGCAAAAGTCAGAAATCAAACATTTGAATTCAGTTCTCTTAAACAAGACAGATATTCAGCGTGAGAACCTTGATAATAAAAGAAGTAATAAGAAAAGAGCCATTGATACAGGTGGAGTAATTTAATGCTTATGGATAATGAAGAGCATGAACATGAGAATTAACAAACATCTGACAGTGACAGTCTTTCTACTTGATGATCTTTTATTAAAGTAGAAGATATGAAGCCCATTACCACAGCAGTCACATCTTATCATTCAAAATTTGCCCCCCTCATTACCAGAACTCCCACTTTCCTAAGCTGGTCTTGTACCTCTACTAACTGCTGTCAGAGTGCTTTGACCTTTTCAAGTCTTTATCATTCACATGCTGACTCACAAGTTTGTGCATTTCTGTGTTTATTCAGTCCAACATTTGACAATGCTTCTCCAAGTCAAACCAACAACCTACCTGGCTTATGTTAGCTGGCTTCAAGGGCCGATTTCTTACAATGCAAAGTGCAACTACAGCAGTACACATGGCAGTTTTTACTTACCTGAAGAGAAAAGGAGGTGACATCATGGCATACAAGCTTGTTGTGGTGTGCTGTGGTCTGCAATATTGCAGGAAACATGCAACAATTAATCATTTTATCCTCTCAAACATAACCAGACTCCCTAACGTCCAGACATGTGTACTTTTTTTTCAGAACTACTTTTCTCTCAAAAGTTCTGTCCACACCAAAAGCATTCATAAATTATTTCTCTGTCTGCAGAAACAGTTGAAAGCACATACATCAGCATACTGGGACAGACTGTAGCAAATGTGTTGTGTAAGTTGTGTGCATGCATATTAAGTGTCCTCTTGAGCAAGCGGTAATAGTCAACAATGTAATTTGAACTGCGAAGGAATCAAATAATTACAGGGTGTAATATATTCATCCTCCCTCCATATAATGATGATATCAGAGGTATTATTATAAACATGCAATTAAACCTGACAGAGGTCATCTTGGAGCGTACCCTACTCAGCAATTGCCATGCACAAGTGGAGTCACTGATGTGTGGTTTGCAAAAACTTTAATTGTTGCTGTCCACATGGATACCTTTTCAAAAATATTCACATGTATGTGCGGACGGGGGCTGAGAAAAATCACATCAGTATTGCAGTATAACACAGTATTGCTTTACAACATGAGCATGATTACATTACTGATCACAAACAATCTAACGAAACATCACAAACATTTCAGTTTTTCACTTTGTTTTTTTTTTTTGTTTTTTTGACTCTTTGCTCATATTGTGAGTTTGGATTTCATCAGTTTATAATTCAACTTTGTTTGTTTAGTTTTTACTAAATAGAAGTAGTAACTTTGTGTTTTTTGTTTGGTTTTAGTTTCAGTATTTTATCTTGGCTTTAGTCTGACACTGCTGGGAGATGAGACACAGGAAAATGTTTATCAGACAAACACAACTATATCCTGTTAATAATCAATACACATGACCAGACAGATAACTTAGAGGGACTACTCCATTAAATAAAGACCAAGGCAGTCATGTGACATGATCATGTGACCGCCTACTGAACATTATCAGGCTGCTGCTTCCTTCAACTTCATCAAATCTATCAGACAATCAGAGACCTGCTGTTTCACTGTTCGTGATGGTGATTGTTTGTTAACCTCCAGGTGAAGACAGGAAGCATCTCATGTTGATTATTTACCCTGAACTGACCCCAACCAAGTCACGTAGTTTTTGGCTTTATTTGTGTTTAAAGTTAAAACTGGATGAAAGTCACTTTTCCAATCAATCAGTTATGTAAATTTACTGTATATGTTTAAAGTTTTACAGCAAGGAGTCAAGTTTCAAACACAAGAAAGCTTAGAAATGTGATTTTTTTTCCTACAACTGAACACTAACAAGATCTTTTTAGGCTTGATAATAAAAACAATGACTGAATAATCTTTTTCTAACTATTACTTATTGATGAGGGGGGCCTTATATAACATTAAAAAGTAATGGCTGCCTTTAAGAAAAAGAACTTTTTAGTGTTTGCTTGGTTTGCATGATTTCATCACACATAGATTTCAGTGCTTTGTAGATAAACTGATGTAAAAGGAGCCTGAATGTATGTAGTAACTGTTGAAGAGGCTGAGCAGAGCGGTGCAGAGCAGTCGGTTTAAAGCTCCCTGCAGATGAAAGACACATTCCTACTCTGCATGTCGCTGTGTTCCTCAGACTGATCCCAGCTGGGACTGGCTCTAATCTCCTGGCAACAATATTGACATAGAAATAGAAGCTCTGACAGAAGGGGACAGAGTCTGAAGCTGTCAGGACGGCACATACACCTGCTGATCACACACTCTGTACATGTATGTTCTGTGTAAGTCAGACACATGCAAACAATTCAAATTCAATTCAAACAGGAACAAATTTAGGAAAAAATGACAATTCTCTGATTAGTGCTGGCTTTGTGGCATCTTTACGCTATCAGGACTCAGAAATGTATCCAAGCTTGGAGGAATGATCATCCTAACCCATTAAAAAAGGTTTAAAACCTCAGAGTGAAATTCTAAGTATCAAATTGGCCCCTTTGGTGACACTTCAGGCATCAATGATCTTTCTCTAAAAGCAGACAGTCGTGTCCTTTTTCTGTCTGAAACACCACAGTTTGGTTTGTGGTGGCTTTATATTCACTTTTATTAGACCTGATTGATTTTGAAAGTTTTGGTTTGATATGACAAAAATAAAAAATGACAAAGTCTATAAAAACAATCTCCCGCAGGAGTCCACGTGGAAAATGCGATAGCCACATTCCTGCTAGAGAGTCTTTTTATTGTCCAAGCAAGTTCAAGCTGAGAACTCTGTACCGAGTCATCATATTTTGCATCAAAAAATGATGTCATGGTATCTTATGCACTGTGAAATTGGAGAGAAAAGGGTGCAACAGCTGGCAGCTGTGATGAGGCTGCTGTAGTTCATTGTTTGCATAATCTTGTTGTAAAAACTCCAAAATAAAAAACCATAATAGGCGGAGTGCAACTGTCAATGAGTTCATGTTATATCGATTTTAGTGCTTAGAAGAGATAATTAACACATAATACCCATTCCATCTGATTTTGGAGTGGCCAACCAGACTCTACGGGTCTATGGCCACTGCTGGATAGGTCTCTGAGGCCCGACTCATTTTCCATTTTTGAAAAAGCTCTACAATTTTTTCTAAGTTTAGGTTTTAAAATCTATGATGAAAACTCTGACATGGTTTCAAAGCTTCAGTTTTCAGCTGTAGTCAACTGTGTCGGATCAGAACTTAACTGATATGCAGACGATGGTTTAATATACCTGTGTGTATGTGTTTTGTGTTCTTGACTTTCTGTGTGAATGTCTATACCAATTATGACAGAGATCTTCTGTCTAAATCTGCCCACTTGTCTGTTTTTCTCTAAAACATCACTCTCTTTTTACCTCTCAGTGTCAGACTCTTCCAGTCAGCAGTCTGCTCTCTTGTGAATCTGGTCCTGTTCGAGGTTTCAGTCAGTTTTCTTAGCAAAGCTGCCACAGCTCAGAGTTGTTCAACAGAAACAGATCATTTGCATCTCTTTATCTCCATCAGTCTTGCCCCTAACCAGGATGTTTTTTCCTTCCAGGATCCTCCTCACCGTGACTTCCCCTGATCCAGATCCATCTTCAACCATGACAACCAAATCCACCAGTCTGGTTCTGGGTGGGAAGGCCTCCTCATCCCCCCTCCTGTCCTCTCCACCCTGCCAGCGTCTGGTCACCAAAGATGGACACTGTGCCCTTCAGCCGCCTCAGTACCCCTCAGGGTCCTGGAGAGGAGCTCTGAGCAGAGCCTGGCTAATGGCCTTGCAGGACCTGTGGGGTCTGTTAGTTGGTCTACGCTGGAGGTGGGTCCTGCTGGCTTTCTGTGCATCCTTCCTGGCTCACTGGCTGCTGTTTGCCTGCCTCTGGTACCTTCTTGCCCATCTGAATGGAGACTTGGCTGTGCAGGACCATGACGCCCCACCACAGGGGCACGTGGTCTGTGTGAAGCACATTACCAGCTTTACTGCAGCTTTCTCTTTCTCCCTGGAGACCCAGCTGACCATTGGATACGGCACAATGTTCCCCAGTGGAGACTGTCCCAGTGCCATCGCTTTGCTGGCTGTGCAGATGTTGCTAGGGCTGATGTTGGAGGCTTTCATCACAGGTACAACTCTCCTGCATTTAAAATCACTGTGCTTTGACATTTCTATTTGAAAGAATTTTTTTCTGGGGACACTGTATGCTTTATACTCTGTCTACGAAAAAATGAAGAAATTTCAGCTCTGGATAAAATATGACATCTGCTGGTTGACACTCAGTATTGCACTTCTTAAGAAGGGATGAATCCAAAATGGTTGGTTATTTTCAATGTGGTTTCAAAGCTGTAAATATTGTTTTTTTGTTAAGTAAACATGTCATGCTGAAACTGCTATTTCACCTCTCTGAGAGTGGCAAAAGTACTGTGAGGCGGCTGTATCTTAGCTTCAGTTTGAGACTTGTCAGAGCTTGATATGTAACAATGACCCCAAATGTAACAACTGGTTGATAATATGACAAGATGAAAACATGATAATGTTTTCCCCAAAATGTAGCAACCTGTTACATTTTGGGTCAGTTATTACATTTAGGGTTTTATTACATTGTTCATATTACATTTCAGGCTCAACTATTTTGTTACATTAGTGACAAATTATGACATTTCTGGTTTTATTACATTTTTTAACTACATTTCAGATCATTATTACATATCAGGCTCCAACAAGGCTACTGTGAGAACTTTGCAGTTTTCTATAAAACTAAACAAACTTAGTTTAGACAAGTTAGAACAGTTTTCTTTTTTTTTTTTGCTTACTGATTGTCCAACTGGAAATCAATAAGCAAACTGAAAAACAAACCAGGTGAAAGATTTACATGTACATGATTCACAAGTACTGGCACCAAGCTCAGGTTGTGGAGTAGGTTTGACATTAATCATGGTCTCAGTTGTTTACCATAATAAAGAACTTGACCCAGTGTACTCCATGTCCTCTGGCAGTGTTGTGCATGGACACGCTAAAATGAACAGGTTTATTGGACCTGATCATATTTGGATGATGAGCTAATTGGCTCGGTTTACAACTCCTGAATAAGAATTTCAGTGAACAGCTGCTCACATTTAGAGTCAGATCCAGGCACCTTGAATGGAGCAGGTGCCTGGATCTGACATCTCTTGCTGCTTTTTCCACGATTGCTTTGCAACCCATCGCCACCCTACCCCCTGAGTTTCTTTGTCTGCGTCTGTGTCACATGGATAGTCACTAATGTTGGCTCTGACTAAAATTACAGTTATGTGTGTTTCTAAGTTTTCAAAACTGCAGATTTTTCCTATATTTAATTGGAAAATTGTTCTCAAATGGGATCCTTCCCTCTGTAGAATAATATAATTCATTTAGGAGATGTCAGTGAATGAGTGTTAAGAATTCAAGCTAAGGAGGCTCTGCTGACAGGTAGTTTAGGTGGTTAAAAAAAACAGAATGTGAGGTAGTTTTTCTTTCTTTTTTGAAACATGAGTTCAAACTTTCAAAGAAGTGAACAATGAGCCTGGACTGGTTTATTTTAATACAAGAGAACTGAACTTTAGTGTGAACTCACAGCACTGTGTAATGGTGGTGTGTCAGTAGCCCAGAGAGTAATTACAAACATTACTGTACATTAAATTTATAGATGTTGGATTGTTTGGAGTGTGGGGCTCTAAAAGATCTTCCCATTTTACCACTTGGTCAGTTTTAAGAGTTGCTTTGCATTAGGTATTACAACCCTCTGTTTTTGCACATAAGCCAAGATTTGCAACACTTGGAGACTGTTATGTGCTTCTGGGACAGTGTTGTATATTTGTAGATATAGATATTGTAGATATTGCAGTGTGCTGAAAATAAAGACAGCACAGGAAGTCCAATATTCCTCTCAATGCCCCCCTCTTTCTGATTAAGGTAAAGTTATAACATGCTATCATCCATCCATTCATCCATTTAGTAGGTGCAGTTCTCTGTCTATAGATTTTAAAAACTGATAAAACAGCAGAGGTCTTTGGGGCTAGACAGATCCAAATAAGTGAACAACACATACACAACATAAAAAACAATAGTGTGTATTATTATGGGATTTTTTTTTTTACACACAACAAATATTCAAACATTTCCAAACATCTTCTCATTGTATTTTTATATCTCTTTTTCTCTCCTTTAGGTGCTTTCGTAGCCAAGATTGCTCGTCCTCAGAAGAGAGCAGGAGCTATCCAATTCAGTCCCCAGGCCGTGGTGGGGAAACATCAGGGCCAGGCATGCCTCATGATCCGAGCCACCAACCTGCTGCAGCGCCCTCTGGTGGATGTAAAGGTGAGTGCTGTGCTCTATGAGGAGCATGAAGGCCAGGCCCTGCATCAGACCTCTCTGGACTTCTACCTGGATCATCTGGGCCAACAGCCTTGTCCCTTCTTCATCTTCCCTCTCACCTTTTACCACCCTCTGGATCGTCGGAGCCCCTTGTACCCCGCCCTGTGTGAGGGCATGTCCAACCACTTTGAGCTGGTGGTCTTCCTGTCTGCATTGCAAGAGGGAACTGGGGACGCCTGTCAGAAGAGGACATCCTACCTTCGCCAGGAAATCCAGTTTGACCGTCGCTTTGTCCCTGCTTTGGGGCTGGATGCTCGAGGGAGATACATAGTGAGCACTCAGCACTTTGAAACAGCCCACTCAAAAGAACCTTTGAGTAAGGACTGTGTGGTTCAGATCAATGGGGACGGCAGTGACCGGATGGAGTAAGGCTGCAGAAAAGGAGTCTTACAAGGATGGCATGTAAGAAATAACTTTGGGGGGTAACAGTGGGGCAGATAATGTTATTATGAGGTACTTCACATAATTGGTAAATCTGAATTTATGTTTGAAAATGTTTGATTGGATTATTCCAGATATGAAAGCTGCTGCAAACTCCTTCAGATCCAACTTCAATCAGTTTGACCTTTGCAACAAAAAGGGCATGATACACCTCTTACCTCCAACTCCATCAGATTATCAAGTCACGCTCAATGGAAACTCAAGTAAAAGCTTGATAAGCACGATTTGTTCCGTTAACCAATGACTCAGTTCATGAAATATCATAGTCTGTTTTTAACTGGAGCTCACAATCTGTGGGCCCTTAGCAAACATGCCAGCGTTGAAGCACAAATGCTAAAGTGGAGACAAGTAAATCCTAAAACGTTGGGAAATTAAGTTAATAGGGATGTCCTAGAAACTGCTGGTGTTGGGGCTCAAGTTGGTTATGCCTTTAGTTTGATAACAAAACAACAAAAAGGACATTTGATCTGTTAAAACCACAAGGAGGACTTGCTCTTTTTCAGCTCCACCTTCTGGTCCAGATATGGTCACTTTTGAGTGAAGAAAACCAACAAGGCAACAGCATTGTTGAGGCTAATCTGCTTTGAAAATGGTAGTAGTCACACCAGTGATTTGGCTACATTGACAGATTGATAAAACTTATTGGTGTTGACCAAGCAGCAACTTTTTTGGGCTTCATTACCCTTCCTCAGAGCCTGATGGGTGACATTCCAGGGATTTTGTCCATGTTTGATATAGGATATGGCACAAACATCTTACAGTGAAGGCTGTGATTGTAGTTCAAGTCCTTAAACCAATAATTGACATAATTTCTTCAACCACTTCAGTCTATGTCTTCTTTGACTATTTCAACATTGGCTGATATATGTATACGGCCAGCACCATGCAGGTTATTTAAACTATCACTATGAACATCTAGGATATAAGCATGCTAACATTTGGTAAGCGCCACACAAAAAATAAGGCTGAGGGACTGGTTACCCTAATGATGCATCAAGGTGTGTTTTACATGACAGTGGCGTTAAGATTTCCCACCATATGACCAATCAGTTTTATGTACAGGAGGATAAAGCCCTGCAAAAGTGATGTTTGAATAAAAACGCATGTAAGATAGCTGATGAAAGTGCAAAAAGAAACATAGTGACTACAGTGCTTTGTCTGTTATTCTGTTTAAAGGGCATTCATGTTGCTTTCACTGACCTTCTCTGCTGATGACAAGAGACAGTACTGACGGATCAAACTGTAAACGATCAATACGAGCTGTAAATCACAGAAAACATCAGATTCTGTCAGAGTTAAGCTGCTAAATGGTTATTCATCGAACAAAGACATTCATCTCCAATGTTAGTCTGACCTGTTGCAAATGCATCAGTAGTGATGGATAGAATGATAGCTATTGATTGATTTGATTAATGAGTTTATTCTTCAATCGAGGCCTGAATCAGTATGAAGAGCAGAAATGAATGTAATATGTTCAATTTGTATGATAATAAATGTCTGTAGATTTATGGGAGAAAAATAGTTGTAGAAAATGTTTGTTTTTGGAGTATTATATATTATAATATAATTTCAATGCTGTTGATACGAAGAGAATCACTGTTATCTTCAAACAAATCATGTTTCTGCAGAGAGGAAATGTTCCACTGACTGTGATTTTGGATGGTGAGGTGTCTCACATGTTTGAGGCCTTTGTACAGTGTACATTTTATGAAATAAATATTTTCTAAACAAGCTGAACTGGAAACACCGACTTAATTGATACTGTTTTATTGTGTCATGTTGTATTCTACTGTGTCATGTCGTATCGTATTAATGGACTGCGTTCTTAATTATTGATTGTTTTAGCTCTATGGAACCCTTCCCCATGAGGGGTCATTATGCACAGAACTATTGTACTATTGTATCAGAAAAGCTTCACTATTGAAATGACACATAGACTGTTCAAGAGGACATTAAAATTTGGCTTAGTGTGAGGCTGTTAGATGACTTACAGTTAGTATGTCAACCAAAATAACGGTAGAGCTTTTGGGTCCACTAAACCTTTAATAAATGAGACAAATTTAGGTAACACTTTACTTGAAGGGGTATACATAATGCTGACATCACATAATCATGACATGACTCTTGTCATTAACATGAATAAGGCTAATAAAGGTTGTCATGAAGTGTCAATTGGTAAATTATGACACCCATGGTGCTATATTGACATTGTTCGGGAAGGCATTGTCATCAACATAGTGCCAAAGGTGCCATAATTCACCAAATCACACTTCATGACAACCTTCATAAGCCTTATTCGTGTAAATGATAAATGTCATGTCATGATTATGACAGCGTAATGTCAGTCTTACATAAACCCCTTCAAGCAAAAGGTTACCCAAATTTACTTGGCTTAATATGCAAAGCATGTGGAAAGGGTTCAATAAACCACAAACTGCACTGCCGCTGCTGTTTGGATACCTTTTACAGAAGAATTTGGAGAAGACAAATGAAACAGAGGTGTCAATTACATAGTACCGTACTGTTTATGTTTTTGCTATAAGGGGCTGTGTTGACGTGTAATTTGTTTCACATCTGCCACGAATCATTTTCTCAGTAAACTTACCCCATCAAGCTCAATGTCTGCATTTATGTAGCCGTGGGCAGTCAGGATTAGAGTGCACAGAGCAACTCTGTGCAGCAGAGAGTGGCAGTGGTGATTGCTCATCTCTACAGTACAAAACTCATGGTGCTGTTTACTAAATGATGACAACAGATCTAGTATTGTTTAACACAAGGTTATTTTCTTCTTTATTGCATTAAGTCAAACATTTCCATTCTGACAGGGTTTATAACAACACAATATCTTTACAAGTGCCCAAAAATATATTTCAATGACTTTTTCATATATTTGGCAACTTATAAGTCTCTGCTAAAACAATATATACTATCTTATTTATGAAAAAATACATTGTCCATTTCCACAACAAATACCAAAGGAGTTATGTTTTATACGCACAGTAGCTTTGTTATATGATGACAGAAACATGCTACAAATTAAACACATAAAAATACAGAGAAAATGATGAGCCAGATAAATGAACTGCACTTGACAATAAGAACAGATCCTGGGTCAGAGCTTATCACACTTTGTTAAATCTGTTTTTAGTCATGTGAATTATCACTGCTTTTTTCTTCTTGAACAATTGTTCTTTTTTATTTTAACATGCTTTTTAAACTATAGTTTTATTTGCTCATTTTTGTTAACTTTAAATCTCTAAAGAATCTAAGATGGACATCTGTGCTGACAGACTCTGACCCTGGTAGTGATCAGGTGGAGGATGAAACAGGTTTTGGACATGAATATGTCATCTTTACACAGTTATTACAGTTCTTATATTCTATTGATTTGTGCATATTTGTGGCACTCTCCTAACATTTAATAACATTGCACATTAATGTAAAGAAAATAAAAACAAGCACCCACAGTGAAATGTAAGATTTTAACTGAGGAGAGAAGATTACATCCTCAGTGAGATATCTGGTCCTTGTCTTAAAACTCAGACAGAGCTGCTGAGTGTCTGTGTTTTTGGACCCGAAGGGATGACAAACTGCTAATCTGGAGGCTTCAAAGGGGGATAAGTAAGTAAGTAAGCTACACATCATACACTTGAGGAATCTGAACATCAGGCTCTCTGACCAGATCTAAGTTTTCTTGTCACAGTGTGTAATACTTCAAAATAAAGTGTCTGCTGTTTGAAAAGAAGCGTGAGCTGAGCATAGATTTAGTGTTAAAGACAAAAAGAGGAGACATAACTGAGATGCATACAGATAGACGTGTAGTTAAGCTGGATAAGAGATCTTGAGAAAAGTAAAGGGTCGTCTACAGCAAGAATCAGAACTGTAACATTCTATGGATGAATGATAGAAACTGTTCAAAACTGCTGTGGGCTGAATTCAAGACACTCTTAACAGATGGATTTCTGTTACAAGAACCATAAATATAAGAGCAAAGACGACGTAAACCTTTTTCAAGGTATGTAACCTTTCGTTATGTGCTTACTGCTCAGAATAACAATATATTTAATACAATGTTGACCACAAAAGCTAAGACCTCAATTACACCTCAGAGTAAAATGTGATTTGTATTAAGGGAACACATTATAGTAACAAAAAAGAGGACTTCATTGTGATCAGCTGGAAATCAGAGGCCGGTATTCAAAGATTAAATATGGATTAAAATTATCTGGATTTGAAAATCCAGTCTTTTGTTTCCTGGGATAAGCCCAATTTATTTTGTTCTAATTTCATTTTCCTTGAAGTTTACTTTTGGGCTTTCATGCCTTATGTAGGGGATAGGATAGAGTAAGGAAATAGGGAGGGCATAGGAGAATGACATACACCAAACCCATGTCCCTTGTCCCGTTGCCTTATCTTTATCCTGATACACAATATTAAGAAATATAAAAAAACAGATTCAATTTAAGTCAGATGAAACACAGCAAAGTTTGCCCACTTTGAGGGCCAAAATCCTCACAAGTAAAAAAAAGGCTCACAGCTGCTTTAAACTCAGTATTTTGTGTTTTAATTCCTTATAATTTCACTTCATTAATGTGTGTTAAAGGATAAATTAACCAAGTGCAAAATATCAAAGAATATCTGCAGCACTCTCATCATCATGAAACTGCTGATGAATTTACTGAATTTTTCTTTCCATCAGTTCCTGTAATCCAGCCTGAATACAGCCTTCTGTTGGATCAGGATAATCCTGATTTTTGGATTAAGTAATATAATCCTACTCAAAAGTTTTCAGCAACAAAAACTGGAGGTCTGATGAGCATCAAATAGCAAAACTAGATTGTCAGATCTGATCTGAAACCAGAATGCTTCGATTTCTTTGAACAACCTCTTTCTAAGATTTGATCCACTTTAGTTTTTGAATCTTTTTTTTCCTGTTATTCTTGAAAAAATGGCGTATCTGGAGTTATCTGACTTAGATTGTGCTCAGGCGTAAACCCACACCTGCATCGTCATTCTACTCTGACCTTTGACCCCAGGTTTCACTCTCATGAGAATAAAGAGGATAATGATACAAGATTAAAAACACAGCCAAGAATAGGCAAAATGGGATTATTTTCAACAGCATATCTAATCCTGGTGCACTGTAATCTCAGGAGTAAATGGAGTCCCAGTCATAAAAACAGAGCATTTCGTATTTCTCTCTGAATTTCATGAATAAGTTTACTCCACAAATTATGATTTTCTGTTTCTATTGTTAATCGCATCACTTTCCAAAAGATCAGACAGATATTTTGACTCTTGCCTTGTCACTGTAAGGACTCCACCATCAAAGAGAAGTTTAAAGGATAAAAAACAAACAGGTTTGTTGTTCAGAGGTCTCGTTCCTGAAGCAGGTCTCCTTAAGGTTTAAAGGTTAACACACTGAGGCCTGACTGTTATTCCCCAACACACTCACTGGGTGACTCTGCTGCTGTCACTTGTTTTGCATTTCACATGTAAAATATCAGGATTTCTAGCCTACATAATACACTATTACTGCATGCTCTTAATAAAAGAGAATATTAAACATACTCAAATTCCCAAGACAACTTCATATACTGAAAAATCAAAGGTCGGGAAACTCTGCTTCACCACATGAGCATGCTGTCGATCTTTAATCTCGTCGTGTGCTTCAATGCAATTAAGTTAATGACAGTTTAATAAAGTCAAGAAAATATGCTTATGAGCTCTGTCTGAGCGTGAGATGAGAAGACAGATGTCAGCTTGTTGTTTGTGTGTTTATGTGCAAACCAGAGTCAGGGTGTTATTTGCCAAGCTAGTCTTATGTTTATTCACGTATTCTTGAAGAGAAGATACCTGTGATTGAACTTAAAACATTAAAAAGTATCTCTAACATTAAAGTGCCAATAAGGATTTTTTAGACAAGGTGAGCTTTGGGGGTTGTAGAATGCAAAATTTTAGCAAGCTACTTTTTCTTCCCAGCTGCTTGTCTTTATGCAAAGCTAGACTAACCCCGTCCAAACACTAGCCCTGCCATGTTTCTGCTGGGACATATTTTTGTCCGACATTGTCCGCTCTGATCTGTGCTTTCTTGTCTAATTGAACAATTAAAGTCGGGGTGAGTTGATGTATGAACACAGCAGGTTATGGTCTAGGACATTCACATCAATGATCCAAGTTTCTCTGCTTTATAACCCCCATACTTGTGTCACTTATCTGTATCATGTCTTGCATTGTGTTTGTTTTAGTGAAATATTCTCATGCATGTTGGAGTGATATAAACACATCAACAGGAGACATTAATCAACTCTCCTCCTGAAGGCCACACTCAGAAATTATCAGGAGCTGATATGTGACGGAGGCCTCTAATTGGCTGTAAAACTCAGTTGATTTAGAAAAGACAGCCAGCAAACAGCTTTTTTTCTTCTCCAAAAAGACAAAAGTTTGACTTTCTGTTGAGATACTCGGCTTTGAAACCATCTGCTTGGTGTGCTCAGACATCAACTGCTGCTCATCATAGCAGTTTGTAAACCCACTGTCCCATTTCCCTGTTTTAAAATCAGATAACTACCACCACCTGCTGTTGTGAAGCAAAACTAAGATTAGAGATGATATATTATTGATCCCCTTAGGAGAAATCCAGAGGGGAATGAACTAGTGCTTGATCTCCGTCAGAGGTGATTTTTATGGCCGGTTCAAGTGCAACTTCTCGGCTCTATAAAAGCCGGCATAACACAACCAACAGTCCACCTTTGTTTTTGCTGGTTTTATGAAGTCAGTTTTGTGTTTCTGAGGTTTTAGGCACACACACCAGATCAGTCTTTTCATCTCAGGCTTTGAAAGAAAGAGGATCACTGTTCCCCAAAATGTTGACCTTTTCCATAAAAGTCTTGTTTCTGAGACTCAATGGTTCACAGTTAAGCTGAGGATTTAAGTCTAAATATAAAACCGCAGAATGAACCTTTAGCAGTCCTAATTATCATCACGAGCTCTTCCAGTCGGTTTAAATCTGCAGCTGAGTCTGATCACACTTTCAGCTCAGTGAGAAGCTGCATAAGGCTCAAAAACTGTTTTATTCATACTTATTGTTATACTACATGACAGCTCTTCATACTGTTATCTAATGCTTCACTAGTTCTATCACATTGCAGGTTGCAGAGAAGATGCTTAATTATTTTTCACACCCACTGTCACACGGTGAAGATGGAGTAAAGTGACACAAACTGTAACATGAACCAAAACTGTTTTACGAACATCAGACTAAAACATCACTTCACTGAACATTTCCCTTGTGGTGAAAACTTCCAGTTCTTTTACAAAAAAAAAAACATAAAGAAAAAATGCGCAATAACTTTATGATACTTCAATGGATTGTAAATGTGCACTTCATATTTCCTGCACATTTAAAGTACTCTATTTTTACCTTGTTGTTTTTGTGCAGCAGCTGCAGAGCCTCTGGAATGAATGAACCATGTATGTGCTGTATTTGTTGAGTTTGTACTTCTATAATCTCTATTTTAGTGATAAAGTGCCTGATTATGAGGGTTTTTATGGGTTAAAACAACGTGAAGCTAGTTTTCAACTTCTCTGACTCTGACAGAGCTTGTCAGGGCTGGACACAGGATGCCAGGCTCCAGAGTCAGGTCATGAGCAGAACGTCGACTGCAGCTGCTTGAACGCAGCTTGCCTCTGTTTCTTCTCCACCTCTTGTCGCTTGCGTTCCTCTTTCTCCTCTCGAATCTCCGCCTCAAACTTGCTGCCCTGAGACGCAACCTTCATCTGTGAAAGATGAAAGAGTCCCTTTAAACCAGCAGGGATCATCCTGACACCATGAGTAGCCCTGTTTGATCTGCCTTATTTCAAAACAGGGATGGAGCTCATTTTTCCAGTTCAGCAGATTAAAAACTGGCTCTGTATGGTTTATGATTAAAATCTTTCCCTGCTGTTTTAGTAATGTGTTAGTAAGCAGCTCTTTTGGTGGGTATAACCTTTGAGACCTGTGTGGATGCAATAATAGGGATGAATTACAGCTGCCAATAACCAAGAATCAGGAAAAGTAAAACCACAGCAGTGATGCCAAAAAGAGAAACAAAGAGTAATCGTTGTTTAAACTCAAAAATGTGGAACATGAATAGACAATACAGGCTTTGTTACTATACTACATTATTCAACATCATTGAGACATGCTACACCTAAAAAGTTGATGGCAATTAAATTAAGCTGTTTAGTTCAACTATGTGTAACAATAAATACAGAAGAGGGGTATGTTAGTAAATGTTGTTTTATCCCTTTGTTGCTTTTTCACTGCATGAAAAGAAATGACTCATACTGCACTATATTTGGGAGCCATTTTGAACCACTTAAGTTGTTGGACTCTAAACCAATCACCAGGTGGCAGTCATGCAGTGTTTCAACAAGCATTGGCAAAAACAATTTCTGTCTTCTTCAAGTTTTAAGGAGGACATTTTTCAGGCCAAAATGCACCAGGAACCACTGAAGATTCATCTATGCCTTTTATCAGATAAATATGATCGTACAGTTAATTTAGGATTTTTATCTGAATGAACCTGATCATGCTTTCGCCTATCTGTAACTGAAAATAGGTTTTATTTTGTGTGTTCGCTCTTGAGGACAAGCGCTGAAGGATATATTATAAAAATCAATTGAGTTTCTCTTGAGATTTTCCCTCACACTGTATGTTTTATGTTTCAGTTTAGCTCGTATCAAGCTTTAATACCAACATTATCAGTTTTTATCTTATGAAGTATTTTAATACTCACAGAAAAACATTATTCCCTGTAGTTAATAAATATGCAAGTTCTTAAAAATAGGAATTTTTTTATGCAAAAGTTACTAAAAATGATTGAAGAGATGATGAATAATACTGTAAAGACAGTAAATATAAATGTTTTTCATACCCTCTCTTTCAAAGTGAATAACTAAAATAAGATAGAGACACAGTATAGAGTACCTTTGCTTCAAAGAAGTCCTTTGCTCCCATCACTCCCTCTGTGGACACGTTGATCTCAGACAGACGAGCCAGAGCCATCAGCCCGCTCTCCTCCTGCAGCTCTCCAGCTGCTGCTCGCCTGAAGATCAGCAGGAACTGAAGGATCGAAACACATCCAGAGAAAACTAAAATCTCCACAAGCTTTAGTCTCACCATGACCTAAATAATAATTATTTTTGCATTTGGAGGTCAAAATATACAGACAGTTTTGAAAGGACATCAGTCCATCCTGCAGCTGTGAAACAGGCTTTAACAGCTGCAACATAATTCAAGGTGTGTCACTAAAAGTGTTGTCTTTGTCACTGGAATTAAAGAAAGGGTTTCTACGGAGGATGACCTTTTTTGTTGAAGGTGATGATATTCTCCTGAAACAGCTGTTGCGACTAAATATTCCAAACTTATTGTTAAAATCTGGAGTTTTTCTCAGTGAGGTCTGGTGACTTTAGGGGGGAAGAATATTTCATGTTGTTTATGTGAAAATGTGACCAGTTCTGAAGACATTGGAATTTCCCAGTAAGGACATTATCAATCCATGTGATTCTATGCCTTTAGGAACTATAATCGTTTGAAAAGACTCTTTGAAACACCAAAACAACTTTACTTCACATTAGTGGCTATTCGCACTGTTTCCCACTGCAGACTGATGGCGGGATCAATGTTTCAGTCTAAAAATGATCTCAGTATATTCACAAATGGGATTATAACAGCAGCTGACACCCAAATGAGAGACTGTGTAATGTTATTTATATCTACTTGTGATGCACTCACAGTTTGCATTTAGCTTTATGCTCAATTGCTGAGTCTGTTTCATCATAGATTTTAACATTTGGTTGTCCTTGATGACTTCTTAAAGCTCCTATAAGGAATTTTTTTTTTTACATTTCTGACATAGACTGAGAATCATATTGTTGCCTTTTTGGGATTTCCAAAAGCAAACAAGACCATTAGAGACAAGACTGACAATTTTTAAGCATCATTTTTAACACCTGGAACTGATGTGAGGGGATAGTTGTCAGCGAAGAAGCTGGAGACACAGCCCGTGTTTTTACAGTGTCCATGTAAAATATTTACAGTAAAAGATACACTTGACTCTAAAAACTGAACAGGAAGAGATCTAAACTAATAGATGCTTCCTCATTCTTGTCTGCAGACTGATTTGGTATGTGTGGCATGTATGATCAGGCTTCCCTTGCAACAGCTGGTTGATGAGTATGGAAGCCTGTGATGAAGGCAGCGTATTGTTGTGCATCCTTTTGATTGTGTGTACGAATATTGAAGTGAGACAAATATGAGCAGAGTGTTATTGGCAATTTTTGAAAATACTACAGAGTTCAGAGTCCGGCTGGTCTAACAGTCTCACCTCTCTGAAGCTGAGTTTTCCATCAAAGTCTTCGTCCACCTCTTTGATCATGTTTTTCAGACCCAGGTGAGTCTGAGGGGCTCCCAGTTTCTCCATCATCAGCTTCAGCTCCATCAGGTCAATGAAGCCATCTTTACCTGTGTCGTAACTGGAAATAAACACAAGTAGACACACAGCATTAATGTTAGAGCCGGCAAAGCATGTTTTCATGTTTTGTTGGTGGTGACTTTTGGCGATTATGATATGATTATGATGGATCAAACATAATAAAAAGTCTTTTCTGTTGCTGTTTCAGCTGTAGAGACATCTTCAGGGTCCCCTATAAGTGTAGACATTTTGATACAGAGCGCTGTAGGGTAGTCATTAAGTTAATCAAATGTAAAAAAGTGCCCCTTTTGACCCTTCATGAACTAAAAGATACAAACGAGTGTGATTTATGGTTGTCCAAAAACTCCTCACATCATTTTTAAGCTGTCTTTTAAGTGAAGACAACAGAAAACTGTCTCCTCCAAGGTGTCCCTTAAGGGTAGACAATGTCAGATGTTGTTATTTCAGTTTAAGTTGGGAAAATAGTCAAAAATAGGCACAAAAAATGACAATAGTGACCCTGCGAAAAGCCTTGTTAGGTGACACCCCAGTGGAGAAAATGAAAAGTGCCATTCAGTAGGAGAAAACTTCATGAAACGCAGCCTAATGTGGAGAATTGGAGAAAAAAGCTGTTTGTGGTGCACTTTCAGGTCAGAAGAGGACGTCATACAGACATATTGGCCTTTTCGTGGACAAAGTGTGATAAAGATCCTAATCAGGTGTCCTCCAATTAGAGCGAAAAAGACATTTTGCCATTTCTGTTTGCCTCAAGTAGAGACATTTTGATATTTTCCTGTTCCCATGGAAACAACTTTAAGAAAACTCAGTGCCCTTCATCTTGATTTCATCATCACTGAATCTTTTACCAAAGCTTTTCATTATGGGTTTCACCAAACTGAAACTTTTTTTGTATGGTATGTTTCTCTTTAAAAATGCTCATTGCCCGTTTAAATCAGCAGCTCAGATATGAAGGATTTCTGCTCTCAGACTCTCACCTTGGTCACGTCTGCATTTGAAAGGCTCTGTTATCATCCACTGAAAGCTTCAGGGGCTTATGTCAGATATAAGGAGTATTTATAGAAGCTTTCAGCAGCTGTGAGTGCAAGTGTGTGTGTGTGTGTGTGTGTGTGTTTGTGTGTGAGTACTGAAGAATGAGGCCCGCTGACCTCAGAGTGAGACTAATCTTTTCAGGCGGGGGTCCAATTCATTGTTTCATTCCAGATTCTTAAAAGGCCAAAACCACCTCCGATTTCAAGACTCTGCTGTTGAGTAAAACTTGTGATATGTTCTGTTTTATTTTATCTCTTTTTCTTATCTATAACAGTTTATCACTCTCTGTAAGCATCATAAAAAATAAACACCCAAGGACTTAAGGTTTACCCATCCATCAATCTGCTCCGTGGATCCATGCTGGCCCTGAAGATATCAGATATCAACCAGATCAACCACATTTAACAGTTTGGTGTGGTGTTAATCTAGCATCAATCTGTGTGAAATGATAACTGCACATTTATCCAGAATCTGCTAGATTGGGACAAGATTTATGCTTCTGCCTGTAATCTGCAGCATAGTCTGATTTGTAGTGATTCAGAGGGTTTTGGTTTTATGAAGAGAAACCGCCCATGAAGAGTTTAAGGTGGAACAAAGTCACTAACACAGTCGTGCTGTATGAGCTTTTGAAACATTTCTACAAACAAATGCAAGTGAGGTTAAAAAGAGAATCAATTACATCTTTTAACACCAACCCTGAACATCCATCCATTATCTGCACCTCTATATGGATCACACCTGGACAAATCCACAGTCAATCACACAGCTGAACCATAGTGACAAATAACCCACTGAAGGATTATGTTGTTCAAACAGGGGTTGTATGAGCTGCTAGGGTATTACCTGTAGGTGGTCCCAGAGAGCTCGGCCTGAGTGAACTGGCACTGAGGATAGACCATCAACTGCTACAGACTGGGTCAACTGGATCACATACCATGGTTGACCTGATCTGATCCGTGTTTTTCCAGGGCTCCACTTTGCCATCAAAAATTGGTACCAAAATGAACACGGACAGGAGTTCCTCACAAGAGCTTTAAGCAGCAAAATGTTTCGTCTCTTTTATGTGCAAACCCAAACCGTATCATAGTTTCTAATCAAGTGTGTGTGAAATACTATGCCTTATCCCATCACCATTTCTTTCACTGTCCTTGAGCTTGATTGTTTTGATCTGTTAAAGTCAGGGGTCGTCCAAGTAGTACCAGGAACAAGGATGTCTGCACTGGATGGAGGTCGGAGTTAATGGATCTAGGAGACCAGTTCAATTCCATTACACAGTTAACAGTAAAGGTTGGCCTCATTTCATTTATGGAGCATATGCTGGTTTTATAACGTACATTAGGTCTGACAGAGGTGTGAGTGACGCAGCGGGGTTACATAAATTTTCTGTTTTATTAAGTGCTGATTTTGTAACCCTTTGTTTGCTTGGTATATTACTTATGCAAGCTACAAAAATAAATATTACATCAAATTAAATCATTTTTAAGTTTGCAAGTAATAAAAACAGAAACATGCTCTTTTTCCTGAGCAGAGCAGAGTGCCTCTAAAACAAACCATCAAAGTTATGCATTGTTAAATAACCCTGAGTGATCTGAAACACAATGTAAAACATTCAACTCAATATAAAGACAGTTATTTAAAGAGAACATGCTCACTTTATTCACAGCCTAGATCTTTATTCTGGTTTTCATGTTTTGCACAATATCAGTGATCAATCTCCACTGATTTGGCACCTATTAATCTGACAGAAACTGACAGGTAGTTAAGCTTTGGCAGTCAGATTCAAAATGGTGTGAAAGCAGGAAAATTATACCTGAGCTTCTATTCAGTAAGTAAAATGGACTCCAGCTGGAAGGGGAAGACTTGACTGTTAATATAAGATAATTCTATTACACTTACTGTGACAAATTCAGACTTTTGTTTGATGTTTACTGTGAGTTTTTCTATTGCAGTTCAATCAAAAGCTGCTAAAATTGTGTTTAAATGTGTATTTATCATCACTTTGGGTGCTTTGTGTTTAAGGTCTAATCTTAAATTGCATAAAAATTTACCTCTCTTAAAAAAACTAGCAATAGAAGAACCTGCAGAGTCCAATTTGAAACCTCAGGGTGCCAGATGGAGCTGCTGTCCTTACAGAGTTAAATGCGTGAGTAAGGCATCATCATTGAATGTTATCAGAGTTTAATCATTGCTGTCCTTATACTGTCCCCGCAGAGATCCTCTCCTTATACTAATCCAATATCACAGAATTAGTCAGCAACTTTATTCAACGCTAACATGCAGCTTTAGCAGCTGCTCTTAGTCACATCAACATGGTGTCACCTGTGTTATCACCTGTTACATTTAAAATCTAACCTCTTTGTTTGTTCCTCCTCCTCTATGGCTCACAAAGTTAAAACACAGTGGAGAAACACAAAGTCAAATATTGGAGTATAAAGATGTGAGAATAAATACTGAGTCAGTTGAACAAAGACTGGACTTTTCACCCATAAGAAATATTTGAACCTATTTTTTAAAGACACGTTCGTTTGTTTTTGCAGGTTAGTTTTTGTTTGCGCTACATTAGATAGGGTCATTTGTTATTGGTGAGGAGATGTTATCACGCTGAGAATAGATTTCTCTCTCACCTGTCCTGCACATACACACACAGATACTGCAGGGTTTTCCAAGCGACCAACAAACAATAATTTTGTCCTCATTACCAAGGTTACATCACTTCATGTAAGGGACACAGCAGCATCACAACCTTAAAGCTCATGACTGGACTTTTTGTAGCATCCATCTCTTCTCCTGGATTTGACTTTGCTTTGTCTAAGGCCTTTTGATCATTTTTAATTGTTTCTTTTGTAAACCTGTTGGAAATCGTTTAATCAGTCAATCTTTCTTATCCGCAGCCAAGAGTCCTGACCAGGTCTACACGGACAATAAAAAAGCAGCATTCAGAATCTTTTGCCTAATTGTGAGGGTTTTTTTTGTTCAAACCTACTGTAACCAGGGTGGAAGTGATCACAGTTAGACCCTCATTTGCATAATGAGGTGGTTAAATGGAGGGTGGTGGTGGGTTGGGGGGTTGCTTTCCTCTCCTGGCACTGCATTCCTACCCTGGAACACAAAGGCAGCCTGGACCGGTTTGGCTCTTCTGTGTGGGAACACAGGAATGCCAAAGGCTGCAGTGGGGTGTGTTTCAATCTGACCGCAAGCTCTGCACGCAGCCCAACATGCAGCACACGCAGCACACGCAGCACTGACACGTATGTTGACAATAAGGTCACCTGGTCTGTTTCAAATATTTATAACAGTCTACTCATATCCTGTTTGTACTTTGTATTTTTATGAGTTTGCAAAATTAAATAATGCTGATTTGAGAGAAAAGTAACCTCAGGTAAAAACCCATAATGCACTGCTGTGTGTTTGTTCAGCATTGGTAAATGTTTTTTCTGATGTTAGAGTTGGAAAAAACCTCATACCAGACTTCTGCCAACATTATACAGCGTTTTTGCCCAAAAATAAAAGACATGATGGAAGAAATATCAACATTTGCATAGATATATGTAATTTTAGTACATTTTCTGTAAGTGTTTTACTGTTCGGCTCTTAGGCCTTTATCGTAGAGACAGGGCAGAGAATAGAGCTAACAATCACTTCAACGGTAAGTACAGGATTTGATGTGAAACTAACTGACAGCTCTGCATCATTGATAACATCATTATAATAATGATAATTATCATCATAAAAAATGTTGACACGCTCCATAGGTGGGTGTCTATTTTGCCCCTCCTCCAGAAAAAATAAAAGGGGGTTGAAATATATCAAAGATATTCTATCATATATTTATACTTTTTTCATTCACTCTTGGACTGTAAGAAGGAGGGATTAATAAATTCAAGTTTGGTGATACCTACTTGCTAAAAATCTCAGAAAGTCAGAGTGAGGGCAAAAGGGTCCATGAAACAACAACCTCCTCCATCCCCGTGTTTAATCTAAGAGTGGGTATCAGCTCAAAGCAACACTTTGTATCTATCCATCCATCTATCTACTTATCCAGAGCTTGGTCACCAGCTTGGTCACCATGGCAGCAGACTATGCAAACTGACCCGAGCATCCCTCTTTCCACCTCATCCTGGGGGATTCTGAGACACATATACTGAGGTGGCCATATTTTTTTAAGTTATGCTTTTGGGCATGGGAGATAGCCCATGACCACTGCAGGGACTATGGTCCCCATACGTGGGGTGCTCAGATAGCCTGGCCTGTGAGTGCGCCCCATGTATGGGGACCATCGTCCCTCCAGCGGTCATGGGTCGTGACCATATTTTAATTGCTGAAAACCAGGACACTCAGCCAGGCTTATTTTGTCTTCTTACATGTCTTATTTTTTGTCTTATTTTTTTCAAGACATTTAAAGTCTGCCTCCTCTGAATGGATAGAATTTTTTTATATAAACAAACACTGTCTATAACCAAAGACACAAATTCTGATAGGTTTTTCAGAGGTTACTCAACATTATGACAAGTTTCAAAAGTAAGGAACGAAATAATGATAGAAGTGTCTCTCCTGTATGAGAAATAAATAAATACAAAAATAAATACCTCTGCTATATTAGCAATCCAACTTTCACAAAAGTAGCTCTCACAAAGTTATAAAAACTAACTTACAACAAACATCTATATCTTTAGATTTCTTCTTCATCCCAGTGGCCAGCTTTAGTGGCCCAATGAAAAACAATAAAAACTAGGACATTTTCATCACTGTATAAAAAACAACCAGGACAGGACATGAAAACGGGACATGTCCTGGGAAAATAGGGCGTTAGGTCACCCTATCCCAGACCATAAGGAATATTCAATCCTTTAAGCCTGCTCTGGGTCTACCATGGAGTCTCTTCCCACTTGGACTTGGCTGGAGCATCCCAAATGGGAGGCATCCTGGAAGCATCTCTTTCAGATCTTGAACCATCTCAACTGGCTCCTTCAATGCAAAGAAATGGTGGCTCAACTCAGAGCTCCAGGCCCCATCTCTAAAGCTGAGCCTGGCACTTCATGGGAATGGGGACTGACAGGATTTTATTGAAACCAATGTCACTGTCAATTCTGCATACTGCTCCAACTCTATTGATTCCATTATCAGCTCCTATGGATTTTCCGTTCGGAAAAAATAGGCCAACCAGGTTTTTCTGTATTGACAACACAAATTTTATCATGAGTTTTATTATCCCCACAGATAAAATGAGGAAGCCTATCCTCTGATTTGACCTCTGAAGGTCAGCTGATTGCAGGTTGGTTTACAGACCAGAAAAAAGATGGCAGCTTTCTGCTAGCATAGTCAGCAAACAGAAATCACACAACATGGCAAAAACCGATCCATATCATTAGATTACCTTCATTTTTGTAAGATCTGGGCAGTCTTTAAAAAGCCCATAGATGCTGCAAGTGTAAGTCACTCTGTACAGTTTAGGAATATTTAGCTTCCTGCAACAGCATTTTAGAAAGTTAATGTCTTCTGTTCGCCACTTACCTTGTTGTAGTTTGTCCTGACTACCTCACAATGATTGTTCTGCAGGGTACGGGAAACTAACTCAAGGAATCCATAAGGGGACTATCAAGTATAGAAACAAATCATGTCAATGTCATAACCAGTTGGAACTGATTCTGATCTGGACCTTTTTTTCCCATCCCTAGGACTTTATAACCTACATAAAATATAGGCCAGTTTTCCAGAACATTGATTTGACACTGTATTGGTTTGAAGAAAACTGAAAGGAAGAGTTTTCAGACAAAGATTTGAGCCAGTGGCCTACTTTGAGTTGTGTTTATACCCCTTATCACTGGATGGCAATACTACTACTACAACATTACAATATAAACTTACAAAAAAATTGCCTTGTATCAGAAAAGCAATCAGAGGACAACTGGTAAAAGCAACTGTCGGGCTCTTGACATGCACTGTTATGATAGATTCTTGCCAATTTACAGCCCCAAAGTGAGCATGTTAACTTTCCCTACATAATCTTAAGTGTTAGGTACCATGTATGGTAGGTTTACCTCTTCTCTTATTATTATAAATATCAGAGCATGTTTCAAATTTTGCTGTTGCGTAAGAAACACTGGACTGGCTGGATTTGTAGTAGATGTGTGTGTACATGTGACGGGGGAGTAAAGGAATGTGTAAAATCCGTGTGTTTTCCCTGACATAACTACAACTTGGATGTTGAGGTCAACGGTATTTTGAAACTGGTAATTACTGGAAATCCCACATGACATGTTTGCTTCATGAAACGCCCACAGCTGAGACATACAGGCTGGAAATGGCGCGCGTTTGTTGTTGGATGGTGAGACAGACTTCAAGCTTCAACTCCAACTGCTCAAAGTTTGGTCATGTGATAAATACAGGGGTTAGTTTACTGGATTGGATGACAATACATCAATGTCAGCACACAGAGCAGGGAAGGTTTGGAAGTCTGCTGCTGAACTGCTTTTTAAATCCGTAAGCTCAAACAATTAAGAGATTTAGTGCTTCATTTGAGAGTGACCTGATGCCACGTCGCTTGAAACAGTCCGGACTGAGCCACATTGTTCGGCAGCTTCCTTGTTAATTATAGATGCCTGAGCTTTTGGCACGAGGGAACTCACTTTCTCTGCTCGTATTCTTCTCCATCTCCCCCCATTACGACCCATTCAGCTCAGCTCAGCTAGAAGAGCTCTCTTACATGCTTTCAGACTCCAACATGGCCTGAAAGATGCTGTTATTTATTAAAAACATAAAACTTACTCTGCTGCAGCCCTCAGGAAACACAGTCAAACGTAAAAGGTTCCAAACTCGCTCTGTCTGATTAAAATTCTCAGTCAATAAGAGCTTGATAAAATGTTGTAATTTCAAATATGCCTCTAAGCCCACAGCTCTGAGAGGAGGGAAAGTGGGTCAGCAGGCGGTGGATGCCCCTTGGGAATGTGGACTGTGTGAATGGGATCGGGGCAGCAACAGAAGTAAGACTAAAGAGATTTGAGACAGACGTAACTGAACCTCCTGAAGGACAAACAAGTTTGGAGATTAGAAACCAGGCTGCTGTGTCGAAACACAGGGCGGGAACCCTGCTGCAACACTGCCTGTCCACATTTGAATCAAAACCACACAATGAGCTCAGTGTCAGCAAAGAGCAGCCTCTATCATCTGACTAACCGTCAGCACACAGCTGACAGGGCAAAGGTCAGAGGTGAAGAAGACAGAGGGTTGGCGATATCGCAATCTGAATGGCTTTGGGGTTTTCTAACCACCCTAAAAAAAAGAGCAAACAGAAAGCTTAGATAAAACTGTGGGACTCTGGCCAGAAGATTTTGTTATTGTTTGCATTCAGTCAGCAAACTCCAGCAGTCAGTGCCTGAGTCCAAAAACTGCAGTCCCTTGAGTGTCCACTAGAGGCTGTGTCCAAAAGTCAGTCAATCGGCATAGAGTCCCATGTTAAAATATTCAACTTCACAGCAGGGATAAACATCTTTACAGCCTGGAAAATTCTAATTTTTGGTGTCTTTAACTTATTCCTTCTATTCACAACAACGCTGAATTTTTACATAATGACCTACCAAAATTGGAGGAAGTAGGGTAGTGCGAGTCAGCACCAAGATTAGTATTTAACTGCATACAATTTAAACGTATCTAAGACAGCAGGTTCAAAACGCTGCATATATGTTGTGTATCAGCTGAAGTGCTGCCACCCACAACTAGCCAGGGCACCTATTGTAATGCTAGAATGATCTACTGCTCTAATGTAAACTAGCATACATGACAGATGGTATGCCGTAGCCTGCCACAGTTTTATCTCGCAACTATCTGACTTCCTGTGTGTTTTAGTGTACTCAAAAACCATCAGATAGGCCTGATATCCAATCTTTACAATCACTCAAATTCTTAAAGCCTTTTCATATGTTAAATTGGATTCTTTGTTGGTCAGTTAACACATGATTTATCAGCAACTTCATCACCAAACATGTTAGTGAGCAAGTACCAAGACTCACATGCTCTCTAAGCTTCCTATTTTTATGTTAAAGGAACATCTGGTCAGCTATCACCACAAAAGAAATCTCATTCTGTTGGGAACTCCCCGTTTACAAACTTCCGAGACAGCCAATGCCTTCGCCATTGGCGCAAAACGCTGAGCTTTGATAGCTAAGTGTTTGCAAACTGGTTTGCTCCACCCTCTTATCCAGATCAGTTTTTTTATTTGTTGCCTCGGGGTTAAGTTGCTCAGCTGGACTGATTTGGATCAGTAATATCCGGCTGAAGGAAGGAAATGTGCTCTATTGAATATTTATGACAAAAGTCAATGTTTTTACTTTATTATTAACAAATTTTGCAGGAAATGGGCACACTTTTATTTTCTAAGTGGTTGGGGTCATGACCCCTGAGAGTGAGGGAGAGTAATGACCAAATCAGGCTTTAGAGGTGGAAGGAGATGAAGGGTCAGTCGGCAGTCACGTGTATGTCAACAGATGAAGAAAAGTATTTAACACATATCTGAAATCTACAAAGAACTTGATGAAAATATCCCTCTTCTCTTGTTGCTGTTATTCACTGTTTTGATGAGAAAATCCTATTTTTCCTGATATGAGGAAATGGTAACACCTTTGTTGAGACTGCACTAAAATTACAAGTTATTGTTGTACCTGGTAAAAAAAATAATGCAGATCACACTGTTACTTATTCTAAAACAAAATTCAAAAAAAAAAAAAAAAACATCTGTGTATTTTATCGAATTGTTCCCTTATAATGTTAAAGAAACTGCACTGTTAAAATCATATCACGCTACAGCCTGGAATAAAAATGGAAATCACAGAATGATTCATCAAACAACCTCCATTTTAACGTTAAACACCATACATGTATACACACACTCACACACAAGAAAAATGGTTCTGCACAGTTAAAATCATTCCATCATTTTAACCTCATTTAAATTATTTATTTTTAAATTTTGCAGCTTGTTCTGCAGTTGTCAGATAGTTAAAATTCTATTTTATATTTTTGTTTTACAAATCAATCAACATTTATGGACAACCTTATTTTTCTAACAATCATTTCAATATGCCCTAGACTGAATGATCCTTCAAATTATTTCTATATGGGCTATAAACTATATCAATAAAACATAAGGTAATAAGCAGATCTATTTTCTTTATCACTATGTAATGCCCAACATGAGATGAGCTCCTTCCAATATTTCTTTAAATAAAATAATAAATCTTAAACACAGAGTATAAATTAAAAATGTGTGCATGTGAATGAGGGCAGCTCAAGTCTGTGTGATCACGACACCGCAGCAGAAACGCCGCACAGAGGCCCTGCAGTGACTCAGTGTGTGTGTCAGTATGTGTTGGTGTGTGTTTGTGAGTCAGTGACATACACACACTGACACACACGCAGCTTTCACCTGGAGGCTTCACGTCAGCAGCAGCAGCTTAATCTCATCAGGAGCTTCTGACCCTGCATGTTCATTCAGTGTAAATCCCACCCAGCCAGTAAACACCGTTATAACGCGTGTAATTACGCACAAACAAAAGACGCGTCACGCGCGCTCTTACCGCTTGAACATCGCCTCCATGTCTTTGATCTGTTTGCGGGAAAATTCCTTGAACTCGGTGTACGGGTTGAACACGCGGGTCGGTCGTGGAGCAGCGTTGCCCTGGTTGATGTCCAGCCTGCGGTTCAGCTTGGCGGACAGCTCGGAGGCTGATTCACCGCAGGCAGCATCGGGCTCCTGCGGTCTGGCTCGTTGCGGGCTGTTTGCGGGCTCCGGCCTCGGCTCCGCAGCCTCCTGCGTGACATTTAGCCGGGACTGCAGCTTCTGCGCGAGTTCATCTGACGCCATGCTGAGGATCCGCCGCTGCTGCTGCTGAGGCTGTGCTGGAGTATGGAGGTTGACAGCAGCTTCAAGTACCACTGACAACCCGCCTGCGTGATCCGTCAGTCCGCCTGCGTGATCCGTCAATCCGTATGCGTAATGTTGACAAACGGCAGGACTGAGCTTCCGGTGACGCTTTTTCAGAATAAGACAGAGGCAGTGCAGTTCCGCTGCAGAAAGGAATTGATCCCATCATCTTCAAAAAAACTAATGTTATGTCGAAAAATCGTTGAAATTCAAAACGAAGTTATTCTAAACGATGTTTGCTGAAGTTTAAAAACAGTAGGACTTACATTTTTTGGATTTTGTGAAGCTCTATGCCAATTTTAGTCGAGATTTTACAGTATTAAATAAAAGTGGATGAAGTGAAAACGTTAAATACAGGTTGATTTTACCAAGAGTCAAATTGTCATACAACGCAAAATGTTGATTGGTTGAAATGCAGAAGAAAGTTACAATCTAAAAGGTAAAATTGAGATTTGGAGAAAAAGATCAAGATCACCTTCAAACTTAACTTACAATGTTTGGGCCACATCATATAATATACTTCCATTTTAGATTACCAATATAAAATTAAATAAGGCTATTGCCTATAAAGTTAGAGATAACGTCATAAACAAGTCCAATTTACAGAAATTGTAGAAATAAAACCCAAAGAAAAAGGTAATTCATTAAGCCCATCTATCTGTTAGTTAGTTTGTTTTTAGGTAATAGTAGTATTTGAGATAGGCTTTCTTTATCCACAAAAAAAGGACAGAAATTTCTATGGCACATTTTGTTCTGCCCTTTTCACCCTTTTATATCTCAATCGGACAATTGAATGAGATCCTTTTATCCACAAGATGGAGCCAACGCTTCATATAAAATAAACTAACTAAAAACTAAACTAAACTACTAATAAACTTTCTACAAACTTTTTGGGAGGGGGTCATTGAAAAAATGTCAGAAATCTTGGGATGCAGCCTTCCATCATCCCCCTCACTCTGTTTACTTGGGGACCTCACAGTAATTACCCCAGCACCCAATAATACCAGACCAGTACTTATAGCCATAACCACTGCCAAAAAGACTGTACTCAGGAACTGGAAGACAAGACATAAACATAGCACATCCTTACAGAATACATATCTATGGAAAAGCTCTCAGCTACTCTCCAAGACCAAACTCATTATTTGCCCAGCCCCCCAACCTCATAAGTGATGTCTCAAAAGCATTATTATTATTATTATTAATAATAATAATAATAATAATAATAATAATAATAATAATAATATCTTTCATGCTCAATTGCTTATTAGTTTTCCTTTATTATAATTCCTTTAATATATATATCCACACAATCAAGTGACAATATTCCTTACCATACATTTTAAACAGTTGTGACTGATTCTCCCACTCCTGTGTCAATATTCCTTTCCATACATTTTAAATAGTTTTTTATTTCTTGTTATTTTTTGTTATTATTATTATTATTATTATTATTGTTGTTATTATTATTGCACTTCACTCCTTTGCATGTCTTGTTAAATATTTGCACTAAAAATAAAATAAAATAACATGTCAAGATGTGCTGATAGCTTGGCCTTTGTCATTAATTTTAGTCTAAACTGTTCATTGTCTGATTTTTCCAATTTAAGCCTACATTATGAGTCAATGTTACCGTCTCCCTATCATCAAGCAGTTTGCTGACTGTACTGAAAAGGCTCCAGAGACAATGGAAAGAAGATTGATAACTGACAAGGCACCAAGCAAAATAAATGAATTTATCATTTGTGATATTCATTCAGCATTTGTATGATCGTTAAAGTGTCCTTAAAGGAAGAACAAATGATACTGACCTCAGTATCGTAGGTGGCGGTAGTGAGATTTTCATGGTAGTGGACAACCATTGGTAGACAGAGGAGGAAGAAAAATCGCTAACTCTTATTGTGAAAGAGTACTTCCGGTCGTGAAGACCCGCAGCTTCTTTTCACAGTAGCGGAAAACAGTGAGAAACACAACAGCTGACAGAATGTGATAAATTCAACAGATAGACTCTGTTAACAAGGATAATACAAAACAATATATAAATTAAACCTCAATGCCAGTAAAGAGAGACCGACGGCAGACAAGGACACGGCACAAGGAGACTTCAGTGTGTAAGTTTATGAGCTTTTATTTCCATTACATGGCATTTCATTTCTTATTTCCCGTCTAAAATGTTTGCATGGATACTCTCTTCACAGTAACATTAGCATGACAACGACGTCAGCTGGCACGCTAACTCTAGCAACATATTTCGCTCGTAATGTAGAGTTGTCATTCAAAAACGCAGTGTTCTCTATCTGAATCTGTAGCCTCCTCTTTAAATATCACTCCAAACTCAAGGGCGTAACATGGGCACATGTAGGGTCCGGAGAAGGGTGGCGAATTATGATAAAGACTACTATCATGCTTCATCCAGGAGGTGCATTTTGAAAATCTGTCTCACTTTCTGGAGCCATTTGAGGAGGAACCAAACGCACTTGTACAAAAACTATCAGGTGTCTACTGAAGGCTGTCCCCAAAATAGTCACTCCACATGTTACAATCTCTAACATTTCAGCAGAAATAAACGTACAGTGTTGTGGTATTTGTTACTTTGTAAATTTAGCCAACTTTGCCAAAGTACCAAGCACAACTGTTGGATAGTGAAACTAATGCGTGAGAGCAAACAAAAGTCATAATAATGCAGTTCCCCAAGCTTCCATTAGAGGCAGACTGTAGGAGCTGAAATAACAATGTTAAATTTCTAGCGCAATCAACACTTTTGGTTTACTCAAGGTGACTAATGCTGCGTTTGAGTTACCTTTGAAGTCAGAAGTCCAAGCCGAAAATGACGTCACACTGGAGTTACCAAGTCAGAAAAAATCAGAGGCCTAAAACAAGATGGCTACATCTACGAAAGTTATTTCGGCACTTGCCTTGTCCAAATATAAAGCAAGTGCTAAAATAGATGTAGCCATCTTGTTTCTGCCTCCAATTTTGCTTTTTTCCGACTCGGTAACTGAAACTCTGGTAACTCGAGTGTGACGTAATTTTCAGCTCGGACTCCTGACTTCCGAGGTAACTCAAACGCACCATAAGCACCACCATGCTAGTGTCCTCCCTGCAGGTTAACAGCCACGCACCTGTGGTGAACATTGTTTCAGTGGAGAGGTTAAATGCCAACCTAGATGCAACACTACCCCCATTTTTCAGGATATAACATGTCCCCTGTGCCTGTTTTCATCCAGGTTGTAGAGCGTTATCACATAATGGCAAAAGCAGCTTACCAGAGCTACAGGTTGATTAGTGGTGGTTGGCTGTGCCACAGCTTGGGCAACAAATAACCAGCGTTTCAGCCCAGGAACAAAAAAAACATCAAAAATTAGTTGAAGGGTGAGTAAATCTAGAGCTGACTAGCAACAGTGACAGCCTTCACAGTCATTTAGTCATGTTGCTGGGTCATGAGTTTTGGACTATACCGGGGTCAAGAGTTATAGATTTGCATGATTAAGGGTATGGCTAAATTGACTTATGTAGATGTGTTGTAGCTGATTGCCAGAGAGCTTCAGGCTCACCTCTTTGCCTGTTTCCTTATCAACTGCAGTTTAGGTGGAGTCTGTATTTTGAACACCTCCATCTTTGAGCTTCATGTTACCTCCCAAGAAAACAAAGATTGAGGTTCCTGACACTTGGTCCATTTTTATGCAATGCACTGTATTAGCAGGCCCCTCCACTCTGGATATGCAGGCAATGCATCAATGTATTAACATTATTAGAGCACTTTGGTATGTTGGGCTGATATTAGTGTCCATCTCTGAACTCGCTTTTATCTGCCTTGCCAGTGGTGTCTGACTTCTACAGTTTTCATAGTTCAGTTATAGCCTGAGTCTAATGACTGGTGAGACAAAACATCACCTTGTAGATTTCTAAATCTCCTCAAAGTGCATTGGAGTACATTTTTGTTGTCTAAACTTGCATGCTAACTGTTTCTCTTACAGAGTGCTCTCTGACGCATAGCGGGCTGACCAGCAGGATGGGCTCACTGCACAGGTGAGTAACTGACTCCGACTGACACCAGGGCTCAAATGTCATTCCTGAGCACATTGTCTGACCTTCAAAGATTACCTAAGGATTAAAGAATAAAGTGTTTAACAATGAGCCAGTCTGATTAAGTACAGCTCTCTCACAGTAAAATTTCCAGGGGAAGTTGACAAATCTAACACAGCAGCTGTGATAAATCAGACACACGTGTGCTGAAATATGTGTGATTATGGGCAGTGTCTTCATAGCAGTGTTTGTAATTCAACAGGCTTTCTGGAAAATATTGTCACCGAGCTATTCTTGAGAACTCCACAGTTAGTGTCTAGTTTGTAGTTGTAGTCACAGGTGCAGATGATTATACTGCTGTCCTCACTCCGCCCTGATGCTGGGTGTGGTGGAGTCTTGTTTCCTGCAACATGTTGTCATTTGAGTCTTTTGACCTTATATTACACAAAGCTACATGTAGTACACACAAAGATCTGTTCTTATGATCACTATCTATGAAAGGCCAAATAAACGGACACTTTAGGGTTCATATCGGGCCTTTAATGATCCCTGTCCAACCCTAAAAAAATAGCTAACACAGAATTCCCTCAATTTACAGTCAGTCTCATGTCCAGCAGGGGGCGACTCAAGTGGTTTTAATTCTATGCGAAGGTGAATATATGGTCTTAATATCCACTTTCAAGTTCTTTTTTAACGTGGAATAATGTTTATTTTGTAAATTATGATCCATAGTCTTAGTCTTAGAGGTGATAGCACACTTTCAACGCCCACTTCCATTGTGGATTGTGCATGGTATTTCAAATCCAAGCAGGAGTAAAAGATTATTAAAAGCAGAGCATCTTGGTTTCCATTCACTTATAAAGTGTATGGGTTTCTTAAACTCATTACAAGTCTATAATCTGTTAATTTAATTAGTTTAATAAGCTATTTAATCAATTATGTCTGTTATTTAAAGCTCCTGTGAACTCTGATTTGTGTTGATTTTGGTGCATCTTGTGGTCAAAGCTACCAAAGTTTGGCCAATGTGTGTTGAAAATTTTACTGTGGATCCAGATAAAAAATGAGTGCAGTTATATGAGGCAAACGTATGCCACCTTACTGAATAATCTGCTTGATTTTTCCATGAAAATAACCTTTTTTTTAACACATTTTAGTTCCTTGATCAGAAATAGAAGAGGTCGGTGTTTTGCCCTCCTCCCTTTTCGTAATCTGACTCTGGTTACATTGAAAATTTCTGACCTTAAGATTACAGCTGTGATCTGTGATGAGGTGAAAAAATGAACCTTTAAGCTTGATTTACCGTCAGACGCTCTGAGTTATTGATATACTTCCGTGATATGATAATGGCACACACTGCAGTGGTTTCAGAGTCAACATGTTTGGCTGAGTGACAAATTTGTGAGTAAACTGGCACACCCATGCTTGTTCCTCAGCACGGCATTGAGTGTAAGGGTGTATAAATATGGACATTGATCAACAATAAAAGTGGACGTTGACCTCACTGTTGTAATAGAGATGACTCATAAAAATTAAAAAGAAAATCCTCTTTACAATCATTGCAAACACAAAGGCTGGGGTGTTTCATAGAGCAATGCTGAAAGACAAAACGAAAAGGAAGTAATTAGAAAAAATGACTGTTTATAAAGTTTTACTGGGCTAGGAACCGAAACATGTTGAAGAAAAAAATGTTAAAACCTTTGACTAGAGAAAAGCAATATCATAAAAGCTCATATTATTGTCAGACAAGGCTATCTTCAACAAGATTAGTAATTCATATGTTTTAATTTTTCACTGTTTATTAGCGCCATGAGGGGAAAGGTGTCCAACCAAATACTGGCAGCCTGTTTGAAAATATAAATTTATTCCCACAGTAGTTATTCAAACAGGAGTAATAGATTGGACAGGCGGAAGAAAGCAGGAAGAGATATTTGTAGGCAAACACTTATTATCCATGTGCAAGTCAGAACAGGATCAGCAAAGAGAAAAGAGCTACTAACACAAGCTGAAAGTGAACTGAAAGTCACAACTGTGTGTGGCTTTTGAAGTTGGTCAGTGATAAAGGAATAATACTAATCAATATGGTGCCATTCTGTCGGGAAAAGGGTCAACATAAGCAGTATTTTTTCTACTTAAAATAAAATGATAGTAACATTATTATTTAAAGGAGACTTTAAACAGAGTCCAAAGTTCAATCCGAAATTGCTGATTTTAATCTAAATATTGAGAGCTTTTTAGCCAAGTTGTCTCCTGGCTGCCTTGTCTAGATTCTGTAAAATGATTCAGGTTTTTGTTGATTTAATTAAAAGTTTTTTTCAACCATCTGTGTATTTATATCACTAAGAAAAGTAATGAAAGATTGCAGTGCACTGGGTGATTTGGTTAGACTGGGATGTACAATGGAGCATCATCTGCATAAAGCAAAATACTGAAAAAGGCGACCATTCTTGAAGGATTTTTTTTTCTTTTTTCTTTTGTTTTTTTTTTTAGATGGGTTTGTATGAAGTACTTATAAGTACAAAGTGTACTCCCCACAGGGGATCCCGGTTACCTCCATCTCTTTGTTAATAAATAAGTCTAAAAAACTGGACTGGAGCCTTTGCTATCAACTCCCATAAATGGGTCAACTCTTCTGGTTATTTTTGAGAAACTCCGCCCCTGGTACGAGTGTACTCATTTTAAACTTCCTGTTGTGCAAACCAGGACCACTTAATAGTTTTCTCTCTTACTTCTGTGAATGTTTCCATTACGTTTTTGAGTTCTGTAGTTTTTCCAAGTTACCTGAAGGCTCTTTGTCTGCGTGTGTACCCATTAAAATATTTTGACATGTACACAAACCTGTTAAACCTCTGTGACATTAATGATTCTGGCAGGAAACTGACTTTCAATTTTATAAAAGTTAGTGGGTTTACCAATTTTAAAGTGTTTTTAAATCATAAAACAACAGCTGGTGTTGCTGGTCCTCTTGTGTGAGGGCATAACCATTAATAATCGAAAGAAAAAAGAGTGGAATAAGGAGTAAACTTTTTTCTGTAAAAAAGCCTTTATCGTCCTGGGAAGAGTTTTTTGTTTTTTAATTGAAACCCACAAACTCTTTATATTCCCAGTTCATTCCTAAAATCTGAATCTAAAAATATTCTCAGTGAGCTGTGGTGCCAGTGAAGCTGTAATGTCAGAGCAAAATTAAACACGCCTGATTGAGCTGCTGGGTGTAATCTTTTGTGCTGCCTAAATGTCATTGCCTTGAAGGTATGTCACTTTACCTGCTGCAACCTGCAAACAGCCCAACACCAGCTGTTCTCTGCCAGATGAGGATGATCCAGGATCAGTTTTAATTGAGTTTTTCTCTCTGTGTGATCAAAGTGACCTTTCCAGCTTGTCTCTTAAGATTTACTTCATGTAAAGGTTACAAACAACAATACCAACCTGTGTGTTGTTGTGTATTCTGCAGAAGACAGCTGAGTCAGCTGCTGGCATTATGGAGGCTGAAGAGTAGGGTGGAGGTTTCTCTGTGCCAGACTGCTGTTTCTCACTGCAGGACCATCTGCTCCTCCTCCTCCTCCTCCTCCTCAGAACCAGGTATCTTCAACAATTTAGACCCCTTATTACTGTTTAAAAAAAAGACAACTCCCCGCCCTTTTTAGGAACCAGCCAAAAGAGACCGGGTAACTTTAAAATAGCTTTCAAAAGTGCAAGTCTGTTCCTGTCTGCAGCTGTGAGGCAGCTGATCTAGCAGACCACTCTGTAAAGGAAGGCCGAGGTCACCACAGGGTCATAAAAAGTCCTCAGAAGGGCTCCCTGCACACCAAAGGACCTCATTTTCCTCAATAGGTAGAGTCAACTCTGGCCTTTCTTGTAAAGTAAGTTTGTGTTGTCAATCCAGGCTAATTTATTGCTCAGGTGAGCGCCCAGGGAGATGTAGGAGCCCACAATCTCAATGTCCTTTCCCAAGATGTTTACTGGTGTAGGAGGGGTGGATCTGTGTCTGCTGACATCTACCACCAGTTCCTTGGGTTTTCCAGTGTTGATATAGAGGAAGTTCTGCTGACACCAGTCCACAGAGTTTAGTTTCATTTCTCTGTGCTGCCTCTCGTCTTCGCTGGTGATGTGGTCAACTATGGAGGTGTTGGCAAGATAAAAAAAAAAAAGGGAGCTCAAATATTCCCCGTGCTGCAGACAGTAATGTCAGACACAAAGTCATGAGCCGTCACAAACTGTGGCTGGTCAGTCAGATAATCCAGCAGCCAACTTAAACCAACTTTATTTCCAACTATAAACCACTGAAGTCGGGGTATGCCCACTTTGACCCCCCCAAACCTGTTTGTCTCCTCCAGCAGACCCCATAGAGGTCCACAAGAGGAAGCTGTTCCTGTGGTTCAGCCACCTGCCACAGGAGGAGAAACAGTTTGGGGGATACTTCAGTCCAGAGACCATGCATGTGGATCCTCTGATCCTGGAAAGAAAGACTGACGAAAGAGTTGGTCTGAACTGCACCCCCTTCCAGACCAGGACCTCTTCCAACTCCTCTGTGACCATTGAGCAGCTGCTGGACCCCTCTACCTCCTGCTGTGAGGGTCGGGGCTTAAACGTGCTCCTGTATGGGGCCGTGGGATCCGGAAAGAGTACTGTGGTCAGGAAGTTGGTCTTGGACTGGTGCACTGGGACCACCCTGACCCAGTTCAAACTGCTGATACCCTTCTCCTGTGAGGACCTCGGAGAACTGAATAAGTAAGACCTGAACAATTGAATAAGATGTAACCTAATTATTGTGTAAACAACACAAATAAGACTAGATAAGATGGATAAAGCACTCAGAGTGACAAATATCTCCCTACAGGTCAGCCACTCTGAGAGACCTGGTGGGCAGGAAGTACCTCCACCTAAGGAAACACCCCCTGCTGAGCGGGGAGGGGGACCAGGCCAAAGAGGTGCTCTTTCTCTTTAACGGGATGGAGAAGATGAAGCTGGACTTCAGGATCGGAGCCTCAGAGCTGTGCAGCGACCCCAATGAGCCGCTGCCCCCAGGTGTGCTGGTGGTCAACCTGCTCAGGAAGTACCTGCTGCCTGAGGTGAGACACGCTCCAACATGTCTGCGGAGATATTTATAGTATGTTTATCTGTCTGAATTTTGATTGGACGGTGGTCTAATTAAATCACCTAATCAAGCTAAAACATCACTCAAGTTCTGGGTTTGAAAGAATGAAGCAATCAGAGATTTCTGTTGTTTTAATGAAATGAATTAGCATGTTTGGTGTTTGTTGTCTCTTCTGTGTTCCAGGCGAGCATCTTGGTCAGTACCAGGCTGTCTGCGATGGACCGTATCCCCCAAAAGTATGTCGGCCGCTACGCTCAAATCTGCGGCTTCAATGACCCAGACCGGCAGCGTGCGTACTTTACCAGCCGACTCCTGCAGCAGACAGGGGAGACGGCCCGGAACCATGAGGCCCAGGAACTCATAGAGCTGCTGTACCTAAACCTGCAGAGAGAGAGTCAGCTGGCTGCAGCCTGTTTCCTGCCCTCTTACTGCTGGCTCACCTGCGCTACCTTACACTTCCTGCATTTCACAGACGCAGAGGCTCCCATTCGTACACTCACAGGCATCTACACCAGCTTCCTTAGGCTCAACTTTGGGGGAGAGGTTCTGGCAGCAAAGATCGGGTCTAATGTGCCAATCCAAGAGAATCACACCTCTCTGATGCTGTATGTTGTCCGCACTCTTGGGAAACTGGCGTTTGATGGCGTGACACACAAACGCACATCATTCTCAGAGAAGGAGCTGGAGCAATGGATTGGAGGGGAGGTGAAGACGGATGAGGAGCTCCGTCAGCTGGCCGTGTTCCGCACTGACGTGCTGGACTTTTTCCTGGCTCCCTGTGTGGAGAGCAGAAAACATTTACCCGAGGATGGTGGTGAGAGTGATGAGCAGCGGTATGTGTTTGCTGTCCCGGCCATGCAGGAGTACCTGGCAGCACTCTATGTGGTTCTGGGAGAGAACAAGTCAGTTCTGGAGAAGATGACCAAGCAGGTATCGGTGGCCATCGGCGAGGCAACTGAGGACGTCGGCGCCATCATCAACATCCTCTCTAAGTTCATCCCGCTGCGGATCTTCGCTGTGTTCAACCTGCTGAAGCTGTTCCCAAAGCTCCATGAGAGAATCAGCAGCCGCAGCAAAGGAAGCATCGCCAGAACCATGGCGTCTGAAATGTTCCGCTCTGAGGACAGCCAGAACGAGGATGTCCTGGACCAGGTGGAGCAAAGCCTGCTGGGAGTTCATGGTCCTCAGCTACAGAATTACAGTGTGGGTCAGCCCTTTGAGCTCTACCCCATCTTTATGGGAGGGCTGTTGCATTATGGGAACCGTGTGCTCCTTCAGCAACTGGGCTGCGGCATTAAGAGCGCCACTGTGGTCCAGATCACCCGGGCGCTCAGGAACTACCTGGTCAGAGGTAAATTGTTCTCGTTTTTCAAAGCCGTTCAGACAGTGTGCTCTGTTAGAGCTTAACATTACCTCGACTCAACTCAGATTTGTGTTTGTAGAATCAGAACCAGAAAAACTTCATTAAACAGCAGCTTTCATACAAACATGCAGCCCAACAAGCTTTACAAGGGAAGAACTGAAGATAAATAAGGCTTTAAATTTGAAAACAATATATAAACTTCTAAAATATTCAAACAATAAAATGTCAAAAATGAAGAAATAAAAAGCCACAAAAAAAGTGAATCAGACAAAATTTATACCAGAGATACAGTCAAACAATGGTAAACACACACCTTTAGAGTGATCCTAAATGTCAAGTATAAATCATGCCACACTGAGACTGTAATTAGTTTCGATATCTAAAATAACTTTCAGTCAGCTCACACCTCCTCACAGTTTGCGTGACGATGACAAGTCTGGTTTATATGCAACCAACGCCTCACGCTGCCTCCCTGCTCTGCACGTGTGTGTGTCTGACTATGTGCGTGAGTGCACGGAAAAGCCTTCTGACAAACAGATTTGCAGCTTCATGCTGCCACTACATACACAAACAGAGAGAGCACTGGTGTTTACTCTCAGCTTTACAGACTTGGAAAACCAGTGAAACACAGTTGGGACCTAGTCCTAACTTGTCCCGTCACTTCCCTTTTTGAATTATTTTTTTGTGTGCATTCTTTTTCGCATCATTTGTTTCTAGATTATTTTGGACAGAAACAAAAACAACCCTAAGAGATTGTCAACACATTTTCGTGAGATTGAGATAGTTATCTTCTGCGGGTCCTTTTTCTGCTAAGCTTTTGAAATAAAATGCATGAGACAAACATGCCGAATTAAATGTGCATATGTAAAAATACCTGGTAGCTGGACCAGTGCAGGAAATATTCATGTATTCAGTAACACACAGAAAGCGGCATACAAACACAAATATATTAAATGTTAAATTTCAGAGCTGAACAAACCACAACCGGCAGAGGAGGTGATGGACCTGTTGGTTCTCCTCTACGAGTTCCAGAACCCGAGGCTGACTGCTGAGGTTCTGGCCTCCATCAGAAGCATCCGCCTCATGAACATCCGCATGACCTCCCTGAAGTGCTTTATTCTAAGTTCTGTGCTCTCCTGCACACCCGCAAGGTAAACTGTGGACTCACCACCACTCTCTGTTGTACCACTATGAAATGGATGGTTCATTTTTGTATGAATTACTTGTCTATAGTTACTGTATTGGTCCCTTTGTTGAGAAACAGGCCAGAGAATCAGAGCAGAAGTAATACTATCAACTACTGCAGACAGTATCAGCTCTGTAGTGTGATTGGGTGTCTTTCAGTGCTATACTTTGCTTTCAAAGAGCCTATTTCTTCTCAAGCACAGCACATTTTGTTCCACCGCTGTAGTGTCCACATTAATTTATATTACGGGTGATTTCTCAATAGAGGGGCTGAGCTGACTCATTGTGGGTAATATTCTTACTACTGACAAGTACCTCATACAACCCCACTTATAAGAAGACAACCTTCCCTCCTTACTTTGAGTATTTTTTTAAATGTTTAGTGAAATTGTCTCTTTTTTTAGAATATAATCCCTTTGAAAACTCTTCCTTCCTGCAGTTATCACCTGGAGGAGTTGGACCTGTCTTCTTGTCTCCTCACTCATGATATGCTGCGGACATTGTGGCCTGCCTTCAGACATGCAACCAACCTGAAGTAAGAGAAGCTCGGTTTCTGGTTTGCAGAAGAAAAGCATATTTTGCACGTTGCACATAACGCTAACAACAGTTTTATGCCATTAACATAATTTGATTAACTACAGGAAAGTTAAGCATATGTATAGTTTGTCACAGTGTTTATTGAATGGCATTACACTGGCTAAAGCTGGGCTCAGACTGCAGGAGTTCTGCACAGATATACCTGATCAGTCTCTGAACAGGCATAAGGAGGTTTTCTGTCCAGAATATCTGGGAGGTTTCGCCTTCTGTTCAAGGTGGAAGCAGATGTTTAATTTGGTATGGATTCGTCAAAATCCTGTTGTCTGAGCCGGGCACTCAAGATGAGTCATGTGCTCGTGAAGCATGTGTGTGTGTGTGTGATTGCTGCCTGTCTCTGTTGTTCACAGTTTGCAGTTTAACAGCCTGGGTCCTGATTCCTGCATCTTCCTGAGAGATTTGCTGCTAGATCCCAGGGCTTCCATTAAATTTCTACAGTAAGACTCACCTTTTGTACCTGTGATTGTGTGTGTCCACAGGAATCCTGATGTCCTTTGGTTTCAATTAAGTATTCAGTTTACTCTCCGCAGCTCTGGTCTCTTTAATCAGCTGTGACTTTCACAACAGACAGTTTGGAGTCTGGCCAGGATGTACTGATGAAGAGCTGCCAGAGGGATCTTGGCAAAATATGTCAATTTGAAAATGATAAACTTCAGTCATTTTTAAATCAAGATGAATGAATTAACAGCTCGATCATCTGATACTTGTGATTAGAGGAGGCATGGATTCCTGGAACAATCCTGATCTTAAATCTAGAGCTAACATTATTAGCAGTGGGTAAATGTTTGCTAGCTGTCTGTCAGAGGAACTTAAATGTGAGCACGCTGTGTTCATAGTTGATGGAAGAGATCAGCCTTCAAAGTGTGTCACACATGCTAAACAATGTTATAGAGTTTGACTCATGAAGTGTTGTGATTCTTAAAACTAACTGGTGGAAAATTCAAACAAGGTAAGACATGAACTTTTGCAGATGTTAGCACTGAACTGATTAACTACTTTTTGTAGTTCTGAAACAAATTGGACAAGTGCCAGACACTACCATAAAACACACCCTGAAGTCCTATGAGGAGCTGTTTAGCTGGTGTCTGTGTATGAATTTTAAGCAGATCTTAAAAACTGAAAGCAGCAGACATCAAAACACCCAAACGTTGTGTCCGTAGTATGAGTCATGGTCTAAAAATCCTGGTTCCTACACTTCCCAAAATGCAACTTGATAGCTTTTTCTCTTAGTCTTTCCCTGTCTGTTAAAGGTTACATGTTACTATTAGTATCAAAAAAAGAGTTTGCACTGAACTGAAACATGAGTTTGAAATTAATAAGCCATCCCGTCATCCTGTAGAGTAGCTAAGGGCTTTTATTGTGAAGCACTCACAGGAAACGCTTTGACGTAAGATTAGCAGAGCTTTGTTAAAAGAGCTTTTCAAAGAAAACATCCGCACTGTGCCAGCAGAACTTAATCCCAACTTAATCCTGATATATAAAAGTGCTTCTCAGCTCCCTGTGAGGACCCCCTCTGTGGAAAAAAAGGTTTTAGTCTCTCTGTTTGACCGTGTGCATGATAGAAAGTCTTTCTTTGTGCGATTCGGTGTCATTTTATTGTCACAGCTGCATGTTTTCTGAGCAGATGAATCAGAAAAGTCTCATCGCTTGTGTTTTTTGCAGACTGTGTGACAACCCTCTGCTGGATTCAGGGACCCGTACCTTGCTGGAGGCCCTGCCTGAGAACCAGACCCTGACCAACCTGTCCCTGATGCACACAGGAATGGGGGATGCTGGGGCTCTGGAGCTGGCTGACGGGCTGCAAAAACACACAGGGCTGCAGGAGCTGAACGTGGCGTACAACAATATTGGAGACAATGCTGCTCTGGCGCTGGTCGACGCCTGCAGAGAACACCCGAGCATCCACACTGTGCAGTGAGAAAATCTGACAAAGACTAGTCATTAAAAAATTGTATTATGACGGCTAAAACCATGAAAACAAAAGGAGACCCATAACTTTAACTTTTTAATTTTTTTTCCTGTCGATGATTCTTGTACAGTTTGTACCTGAACCCTCTCAGCAACGTGGGGAAGCAGTCTCTGTACGTACGAGGGGTTCCAAAGAGCCATGGAGGCAGTGGGCGGCGGGTCCGGGTCCTTGCATCAGTCACTGAGGGCACGGACCTATCAGAGGACTGGCATCCAATCCTCAGCGTGATCCGGGAGAATGCACCCTCCTGGGACAGAGAGCGGGTCAAACAGCAGCTCATGGTAAACACAGACAGAAGATTTGGGGGGTTGTGACATCTGTTACTTGAAACTGTGATGTGTGAGTGGTTCAGATCACTCAAAACATATACTGGCAAGGGATGCTTGAAAATATATTGCTTCCAAAATTTCCATGATCATGACTCTTGCAATCACATTGAGCTCAACCAGATTTTGAAATGGCAGCAGTGAGCATTCATTTCATTCATTTCTGTGAGTATGTCTCAGAGTAATGTTCTCTGCGCAGGTGTTCCTCAGGGACCTGGAGTGGGGCCGTCAGCAGCAGCCAAGTATCTGGAAGAGGCTGCATTTCAGGCGGGTGGAGAAGGGGGTCAGAAAGACTCTACGGATGCTGGAGAAGGACACTCTACCTCCACCTACAGGACACAGCAAGTGACAGAGTCTGAATTTAGATCAACTTAGAGACTTAAAAAATTAACATAACTAACTCAGGTTTACTCCTCTCATATGAACAAATCTGGACTCTCATTTAGTTGACAGTTAATCTAATGAGCATCGGGTAAAAGTCTTCTACTCATAAAAGCTGAGCCAGTAAAATAAACAGCAGGAAAACAAATCCAACATCAGTTAAGTCTACATCCATAACTTATGGCAGCATAAATAGGGACACTTCCAAACAAATAATGCAGTAGATAAGCAGTCATCACTAACAATTTGAGTTATGTTTTACAGATCAGTGTCGAGGTAGTTAGTCATTTCTATCTGAATGAAAATCTGAAAGTGTTTTAAGAATATCAAAAAAAATGTCTAGAAAACAAACTTTAGACTTTATTCATGACACCCAGAAGTGCTCTGCTGATTTTAGATAAAATATATATATTGTCATATTAATAAGTAATTTTCACAGAAACTAAACAAATCTGCTTATGGTTGGAAATTAAAAATAAAATCCCTTTTTTTTCACTCTTGAATTCTCCAGGTTGTCTTGTGTAAAGAAACTCTTGTTTCCTGCATGTGCCCCAACGTAAAAGCACTTAATGTAAAGGTAGTTAATGTCTCTACTGTGAAACTGATGGAGAAAGTGTTGGCAACAAGGAAGCTCACGTTGGATTTCTTTAAGTAAAGCACTTTTCTGGTTATACAATCAGTGCTACTTTTTACAGCATTTTTCATACAAATTGCAGCTCTCTGTGGTTGAAATGACATAGGAACAATATTGGCAATAATTCAAATGTTGCATGACTAAAAATAGTACAAATATTTCACAGATGCACTAATCTTCCATAAATTTGTGGACAAATCAGGCGTAAATGCATGTGTGAATGCAAAGTGAGGATTCTTCAGTAAAACTTGACCTAAAGTATTCCTGCCAAATCCCTTTGGTAAAACTTCTGCCGAAAGTCAGTGTTAGCTGTTGTGTAAAGACAGCTGGTAATAGTCATGGTAGTTCATCTCAAGCGTGAAGTTTTCTTTGAAGAAGTTCCCCCTGCCTTTATGTCAGTGCTGCATGCAATTGGACGTCTTGACAGTATCTGTAATTAAGTGAAAAAGAGCACACTGAGGTAAAAAAAAAAAAAAAAAAAGTATGAAGCAGCTTCACACAAGAATCACAGCAGTTGCATGATGTAAACGTCCTGACTTTTCCTGACTTTTACCTGTTGTGGTCTTTGCACTGATTTACCTGGTGTGGAACTCTTCCTGACTTTCGGTCAGAATTTTACAAGCTGACAAGAAAAAGTCAGGGTGAAGTTGGGGTGAAATGTTGCCTTTGTGTGTTCATACATGCAGCACACCTTCAAAACCTTTGGATGTTTCCAGCAGTTGAGAGGATATGATAACTAAAAGTATGTGTGCTTTTTAAACATTTAACATTTGAAATAAGTTTATCCGGTGAGAAAATATAATCAAATTCAGAGGGTTTGAGATTTAAGCTTATTTAGTTTCTGCAGTGATTTAAGGAAAGATAAGTCTGATTAGTGCTTCCTTAAATCTTACAGAAATTATTGCTGCCATGCCTTCTTCAGCCTTGTGAAGACACATTTCTGCACATTCATGTTTCCACAAAAGGGCTTTTTTAAAAACCGAACTGATTAATAGGTTTAAATGGACTAATCATGCATTACTTGAAGGGACTAATCAACATATCAGGTACATTTAACGTGCATTTGTCTATTTTTATTGTTCATCTTTGCTGCCAAACAATGCTTCTCTTGAGTATTTTTTTTATTTAGATGAATAGTCAGATTTATCAGATACAGATATATAAACATTTCAGACCTTAAGTGTCTTCTTTTTTTAATAGTTATTTTGTTTCAATAGGTGTTTGTTTGATGCCTTGCACATGTGAGATGAGTTAAAGATAATACGATTCAGTGCTGCCTCAATTAGGTTTGACTCATGTTATTTTCCTTGAAACGGGATGTGATGTTTGGTGCTGTAAGAAGATATCAGTGTTTATGACTGACCTGAGCTGTCATGTTTTTGAATGTAATTTAAAACCTGTTGCAATAAATGTTCAACTGAAAACTGTTTTCTCAGCTTCTTCTTATTTGTTGTGAAAAATAAAACATATAGGCAAACAAACCAAATAAAAATAACAACATATTTTCTGCAAAGATACCCTGTACTACCAAACTGCAATAGAGAGTCAAACAACAAGATTTGACCAACATGGAGACTGGAAAAACAGCAGAAGGAGGTTGTTAGTGGATCATTCCAGGCCAAAATAAAGCATCAAGAAGGTCTTAACCACCTCTACCTCATGAATTCCCTTTGCACTTTGTGATTTCTTCATAAAAAGCTCTACACAAATAAATAAGTTTACTTTTGTTTGCTGTTATGTGCTGGGGCAGCAAGGAGAGGGCAGCAGAGGCCAACAGACTTAACTAAGTGATCTCCAAAGCCAGAGACGGGTGGGGGATGGAACTAGACTCAGATGCTGTCAAAGTTAAGAGTCATCTTTGGCAACACCTCCCACTCACTCCTGCTCAATCTTGCTCAATCTTGCCCTGCTCACTTCTGTCTGGCTTCTTAATGATGCTATAATTTGCAAAACAAACATCATGTTGTGTCGAGGAAGACCTTAAAGTAGGTATTAAGACCATAAATATATTATGAAAATGTTTACTGAGGAAGTAAATTAACTGGTTTTATCATAGACTGCCATATGTACAACCAGTGGACTCCTGCTGGACACTCAGTCTGTAGTCTGATTGTAAAGTCTGTTATGAAGGATGGTTTTATGAACTGTTTGTGTTGTTTTCCTCCCATCATAACTCTCCTCTCTCAGCACACAGCTTCTCTCTCATAGGGTCAATGTTTAACCCACCTGCAGGCAGTCCCTCTCTCACCTGCTGTAGACTCTTTATTACCTGAGTGGACTTTTGTCCCGTCTCTGTGTCTCAGAGTGAGCAGGAACACACACACTCAGGACTCCATGAGATCCTCCACAGGTACGCTTCCTCTCTGATCTCTTTTCTCCTCATTATTTAAATATTCAAATATCAAATCCACGGCTGTGAAATGTTCTCTCATTCTGTGTGCTGTAGGTAAAACAGTCTTGCCTGCTTGTTCAGTTTAACTATCAATGACCTCAGTTGTTTTCATCCTGATTAAATATCTGCTATGTTCCCAGAGAACAACTGTGGGGCTCATACAGCTATTATGCAGACCTGTGGAGTTAGTAATCTAAAGATAATGTGTATAAACAGAACAAAAATGTTATGCATTTAAATGTCAGACGATCAAAAAGGTCTGTTCTTCTTAAAAAGTCCACAAGATACTCCAAAAAAGAGAGAATCCCCACAGAGGCCCATGTTAAAATGTCCTACTATACAACAGAAATGAATATGTTTACATCAAGTACAAAAAGAGTTTGGGGTTTCATTGCTCATTTCTTTTAATGAGAATATCCATTTTTGATATAACTCACTTTTTTTAATGATGTTAAAGATTAAAGATTTGTTGTCTGCTCAGTATCACCTGAGCTGATTTAGTCACTGAGCTAAAGATCTTAGCTGTGTTTGGGGTATTACAGTCTATTAGAGTTTTTTTTTTTTTTTTATGACACTATGAGACAAATGATCCATTTTGTAGGACTGTCAGACTGTCTAAGGTGCCAGACGTCAAAGGCGGTTTACACTCAGTCAAATTCCAACACCATTTTAATTTTGTAGTTATTAACCGCTAGTCTTGACTAGTCTTAATTAACTACAGTCACTGGCCTTGGCTGATGAGCTGAGCTGGTATTTAACTTTAAGCTGATTATCTATATCAGTGTTTGAAATTATCAATTGCCAGTGAGATCAGTTGATTGAAGATAGTGCTACTTTGGATCCACTGCCTGTTTGTCTTTCTCTCTGGGACTCTTTTCACTGTTTTGTCTCACTCAAAGTCCCGCCCACAACAGTATCTGACTGGCTGGACATCACACAACTGTGTGATAATGGACTGTTAGTGTAGCTGGTGAACTGTTGACAATGATGTTTAAATGTTTTGAGTTTTGAAGAAACAGCCCTGTTCTTACAATTTTCACATTAAGCATTCAAAAGTGAAGATGTATTTGACTGTCAAAAGTCAACAAGATGAAGTTTTCTGTCACAAATTTTGTCAGTCGAGGTGAAAGAGGAGAGCTAGAGGAGGCTTTTTTTACTGCAATAGTAAATAAGTTACTAACGGAGTTCATTTTTCTATTAAGTTTGGGTCCTGCTGTGTCCTGGTGTAGTTATACTTTTAGACAAAAACATGCTTCAGTGTACGTCATGTATTGCCCATTTATCCATTTCATTAGCTGATACTGTGGTTTGTTCTCTGACTCCTCTCCTGTTGTTTAAAGGAAGACCTCTTGTGTTTGTTCACTGTATTCCTCCCTCAGGAATAAAATTGAGTTTTCTTTCCTCAGAAGTCATCACTGTCACTCACTGATGAATCTTCATTAGATTAGAGGGAATAAACCCTCCTGGAGCTCCATGAGTGTCTAATCATGTCTCTGTGTCTCTCAGGCTGTCAGGATGCCATGGAAATCCCTCGGTGAGTTCAAACACTTACACCCTAATGGATGCATGTTTTTGGTGTTTGTTTAGGGAACGTACAAGTTTTGTAACTCCGCTTTACGAGTCTTGTGTTGTTTTCTAGTTTATTCATTGTTTGTTCCAAAGGTGAGGATGTGTTTACTGTTTCCTGATAAGGAAAGATAGAGGAAAATTAGCCCCTAGTTGACCCTGCTGTAGTGTATGAGATGGTTACATACTGCATATCTTTCGCATAGTTTACTTTATAAATAAAACATACTAATGAATAGATGGGAAATGCCAAAACTTTGAATGAAAAGGTACTTTACAGCCTTTTGAATATTGGGTTATTGTGTTTTATAGCCTTCTCCATGTTCTACACTAAAAGCAGTTTTTAGTACACATAAAACTGCTTACTAGTTCAGCTCAGTGGCTAGACTGCATGCTCCATGTACAACCTTAATTCTAAGTCATGTAAACCCTATATTCAGTCAAAAATGGTGCAAAGATGGCATATCAAATGTGGAGAAAGTTTCATTATTAAAACTTTAAGGTTCATTTGAAATTTAATGAAGGCAACATGTTTCAAAACAGTCGGGACTGGGGCTTGTTTATATTTTGTTGAGTCATTTCTGTTTTTCACATCACTCTGTTCATGTACAAGGACCAAAAAGATGGTTTGTCAAACTGGAGAAACTATCTTTGAACAGAGGTAGTGGACAATGGCACTACTTATTTCTTTCGACAACAATCGAAACAACACATTTGTGTCGGATCACAAGTTTTAACATTATGCTAGCCTGAAGACCCCCCTCCCCACAGGTGAAACCAGGTCAATGACCCTGCTATAACTACTCTCAGGTGACCCAGCTGTGAACGATTCTCAGGTGACCACCCACCCCTTCTACAGCTGGAGGACCATCAGAGGCTATAAATTTCCAACTTTGGCCCCAGTCACTTTAGAACTGAGTAAGCCTTTTGGAAGAGTGGCAAAACATTTTCAAGAACCTCATAAAGTCCAGTTGCCTTTTCAAAGAAGATTCGAACAGTCAAAACATTTTTTTTTTTGTTGCACACAGAAGAAAATGATCCTGAAATTGTTGAAGTATTTGGTCGTGCAATCTCTTGCAAAAAATAGCAAATTAATCGAACCAGTTGGTTGAAGCTTCTCTTGGTGTTTTTATTTATTTTTACTACATTTTGATCGTTAAGATAAGAGTCGATTTTTCAATAAAACAAATTTTCAGTCTCAACATTTGATCTGTTATCTTTGCACACGTTTCTGATTCAAATTGATGTATTTAGTATAACTCTAACTTTTGATGACTTGAAAACTATCAAAATCTTTTTCTATTTGTAACTTTTTTGGTGTTGGGTCTGTGAACACGGAACATGTATGTATTGGCGTACCAAAGTTCTCAAAGTTGGTGCCAAGAGTTCAAATCCCCCTCGCTCTTTTAAGGTCTTTACTCTATTTACTGTCCCATTTCTAAATGAAGAAATCAAGGGATCAAAAAACTTATCTAAAAAGAGGCTAAGATAATTTCAAACAAATGACTGAAATACTTTATTTACTGACTTTTCTCTTAATTTTATCAGTTTATCTTGCTGATAGTTTGGGTTTTTGAGAGATTACTCTTTTAAATTTGCTTTTACGTAGACACAATTAAGTACCTGCATTGTAGATTTTACTCCCTCCAGCAGTAGCAGTTTTAGCCTCTTCACTGAAACAAATAATGCTGTGGTTTATGACTTCCCATGTAATAATGACATAACTTTGATAAGAGTGTAGCAGATAAAAACTGCGAGCTCAGTGTGACCTTTTATCAGGGTAGATAAATTTCTGTACAACACGTGCTTGTCTTGAAATCCTGTCGTTCAGTTTAAGGTCACTAAAGCTCTTTAATATACAGTACGCTTTTCATTTTAGCTCAATATTTAATAGAATTAGTCTGGACAAGAAAGGAGTTCAATACAAAGACTAAGTGATGTTATGTCATTTTCTATCCCATGCATCTCAGCAGTACAGAGAAAATAAGAAATAATAAAACAACACTGTGGCCAATCAGGAGGATTTCGCTTCTATCATGCTAAAACCTCCCAAGATTACAGGCAGACTTCATGTTTTAGGAAAGATCATCTCTAACTGTATTCTTTCTCTCTTTGCTTCAGTTTTACCTTCAATCCAAAAGAGGGGATTGATAATCCAGCTCTGGTGATCTCTGATGACCCCGGTGAGGCTTCAAAGCTATGTTATCTTTCAGAGCTCCTTTTTGTAAAAATCTTTTCCAGTGTTCCCTTTATTGATATCCGTGTTGTGTGTGCAGAGCCTGATCGCAGCCTGGTACCCAGACTGTGCCAGCTGAAGCGTGTGGAGGGGCAGAGCTTTGGTTTCCTGCTGCGAATAGACCAGGACAGCGGGAGCTTTGAGATCACATCTTTGCAGCCATGGAGTCCTGCAGAGTACAGCGGCCTCAGAGACGGAGACAGAGTGCTGGAAGTCAACGAGGAATATGTTGAGAACATGGACTTTAACAAGGTGACAGTCCAGAATTTAACGTTGAATCAGCTCACCTGTTTATATTCAGTTTCTTAACGGCTTGTTCAACTGTCTTTATGTTTGCACAGGTGGTGAGGAAGATCCAGTCATGTGGCCTTCACCTCTTCCTCCTGGTGTTGGGGAGCGAGGATTATGAGCAGGTGATTCAATAGGACTACCTTTCAGCTGGTGAAGTCATGGTACTTACAGTCACTGCAGGACAGGTGCTTTTATACCAGGACAGATACAGAAGTATTATGATACTTCTGATATGTAATCACATTACATATGGTTTGTGCCTTTAGCATTAAAGTGCTTGTGAGGAACTTTTGGTTTTTGCCAATTTTGTTGCCCCCATGTGGACAAAGCAGTCTTCACTCATCTTGTCTGCTGCACGCCTGAGTATTTATTTATGACAACAAACCTCATCCTCCTGACAGTCAGATGTAGTCACAGCCCAGTATTTTTTGAGACATGGTGCAGATTCTGAGGTCACATAACTCTGTTCACAAAAAAAAAAATGTGTTGTCTCTCTTCTGCAGGCACTCTCTCTTGGTGTGAACATGCAGTCTTTGGCTAAATCCTCCAAGAGGAGCAGCTGGTCCAGATCCAGACTGTGTCATATCAGCAGAGACACGGAGCTCGGCCTGGGAATGTCTGTGGTTCTGCTGGAAGGTACTAACACGCTGCTGTCACTGTTTGACAGAGTGTTAACCACACAGACAGAGTGAAACTTACTCATTTACAGCTCCCCCGTCTCTCTTTGAGGGTTTCAACTCTTTCAGTGGGTGTTTGGATAATGGAAAGACTATCAATGATTCACCTTGTTGTGCTCGGTTTTCTGAGATTGACCCCTTTTTCTTAAAGTTGATATTGTGTTATTCAGGAGTTAAAAGCAATATTTTTGTGTAGAAGATACGCATTATTAGATTGGATATTTTCATGTAACTTCTTTATAATGTGTAATCAGGCTTTGACGCATGGTTTGCATTCCCGTCAGCTCTGTCTGCATGTTGACAGTGTTGTTAACTGGTCTCAGTCACGCACCCCTCCAAAGACACTGATCTGAAGGAATCACATCTGCATGAGAGTTAAAAGGCTAACCATGATTTATCTCACTACCAAGTGCAGTAGCTTTACAGCCAAGAGTCTCCCTATGATTGAAATTAATTCATCCTAACAGTAGGGATGTCTCCTCAGGTCAGAGGGGACAGTATGCCGTCAGCACGGTGCCTGATGGTCCTGCAGAGAAAGCAGGTGTTCAAACCGGAGACAGACTGATCTGGATCAATGGAGTCATGACCTCAACGCTCACGCATTCATCTCTTTGCAGAACTGTAAGCAAAAACTCTAACATATGTATTTATGTAAAGATGACCCTCTGAGTGTCTCCTGTCCTGCGGCTGGTTCTCAGGTGAAGAAGGGCGGGGACTCAGTGACCGTGATGGTCATTGACCATGAGAGTGAGAGCTGCTACATCAGGAGGAAGATGCCCATCCTACCAGTGCTGTCCAAGTGCTGCAGCCTCCCTCACAACACAAAAACCATGAGACTGAAGAAAGGGAAAGACGGTTATGGCTTCCTGCTGAGACAGGAGAGGCTGGCAGGGAGCCGACGGATCGGTGAGCACAGAGAAAAACACTTACAGATACTCACCTCAAGTAGACCGTCTGAAGTTAGAGGCAGCCTGGGAATAATGAAGTGGATAGAACACGACTGTTTTTGACAGAAACATGTCTAGATTCACTGTGTTCAGGTTTTCAGCAGAAAAAAAGGACAAATAATTTGATAAAGTTATAACTCATAGTATCAGAAGTCACCAAGGCCTGAATTCATTTCGACTATCTCCAGTCAGATCCTGCCCTCGATTTAGGGCCCATGCAGACATAGAAAACATCCCAAAGTTCCTCAGGGAGAATGCTCAGAGGGTAATGAACTCAGAAGGGAGTAAATGTTGTTTCTTCAATATGATCTGATTTATGTAATGTCAGTGTACTTGATTATCTTACACAACCATAACTACAGCGTCGTATGGACTGTGGGAGTAAGAAGGTTAAGACAGGGTTCCTACACAGGTGGAATGTCCATACTTTTCCATACCCTACTTTTTAGAATTATGCCTACTTTTCTATTTTAGATAACAGTATTTTAGAACTGTGGTAAACATGAATGTTTCTCCATACTTTATTCTTCATTTTCCATACTTTTTAAGACCTGGAAATTGATTAAATTATTTCCATACTTTCCATACTTGCATAGGAACCTTGTTCAGACAAGTCCTGGCCTGTCTCTGACTTATCATTAGTGGGTTTAAATTCTCTTCGTCTTTCTCCCCTGTGATCCTGTGGTGATCAAGTCCATGTGTTGAGAGAGGTGGATGCTGGAAGTCCAGCTGAGGAGATGGGGATGGAGGACGGGGACCTGCTGCTGGCTGTGAATGGAGAACCTGTGGAGTCTGCAGAGCATGAAGACATAGTGAGGAAGATCAAACGGAGTGGAGATAAAGTCATCCTTACGTCTATCTCGATACCTGGGAGAGATTTTTACAGACAGGTGAGATCAGGTGTTCAAGTGGATCAGGACTCAAACCAAACCTGGATTAGAGTTTAATCTGTCCTCCAATGTCTCCCTGCAGCTTGGCATCTCTCCTCTGTTCTTCCATGATGAATTTATAAACTGGGATGACACACTGCGGGCTGCCACACCCTGCACTGACAACCAAACTGAGACTGTGAGAGACGGACAGAATAGTTTTGAGAGGGGCTCTGGAGTTACCTTCAGGTGTGTCTTTGACCCGACTTTAACCATACAGGTATGACTCTTGTTACCATTTTCATTTTCAAACCTTGACACATGAAGGAATGTTTTTATTATTATTATTTTGCAGGTCTATTTATTTATAGACCTGCTGATTCCTGAGTCACACTCTTTCAGAGATATGCAGACTCATCCTTTAGTCTTTCACATCACTTTTTATGTGGCCTTGAGTATTTTTTCTTGTTTTAGACCCTAGGAAGAATAGCCATAACTTGGGAAGATCCTACATCAGTAAATACATGAATGATTTTAATTAATTACCCAGACATGCTCTAAAGTCAGCTGTTTGCAGTTCTATAAAATCTACACATAAAGATAAATACAAACATAGTTATAGGAATGCATGTATTTATGTGATAAACTATAAGTTCCTGTTTTTAAATATTGAAAGACAATAACCATCTGTGAGAGTAAATTTTCATTTTTCAATTTTTTTTTCCTCTAGATTTCCGACAAATTAAATGAAGTTTTCTTGTGATGCTAAAAACATGATTGACTGGAGTCAACAGCAAACGGTTTGGAGAAGTATATGATTTTATGGCAGGCTAATTGTAATGTGAATGTCTCATATTTGCTGTTGTATATTCTTTAAGTCACCTCTGTGGATTTGCCTCTTCATACCCGTCATGTTTTACTCTGGAAAAAAACTCCAAATCCATGAGATCCCATGACCTGCCTGTTGTTTTGCACATGATTTTCACTCATATTTTCCCATTTAATGTTTTTATCAATGAGTAGTGTCCTCAGTCACTGTGTAAGCTGTATCTATATATTCAAAACATTGTTCCATATTTAAAAGTCCAAGGTATTAACATGTACATATTTAAATACTGTTTCTCATGTTTGACCAGTAATAAAAATATAATGTGAATAAACTGGGTCTGAATATTTGTGCTCATAGAAAATGTTTTCTTCAGAATAAATCATCTTGTCTTTTGTGTGTGACAAGAGCATCAAGTAACGCACTAAAGTACACTTCCATTTTCCTGTAATCTGAGGACCGAACAAAAAAATATGGATAAGTAAATAAATTTTTTTCTTATTACATCAGCTTTGTGCAACTAAAAATGATCATTTTATTCTTTGATTAAAAAGATGATTTAGTCATCATTTATATAGAGCAAGAAGGTTGTTAGAAATGTGAATCAGTTTCTTCAAGTGTAGTGTTCAAACATTTTGTCAAAAATAAAGTAAAGTGAAAAAGTATTCAGTGTAAAAAAGAGGGAGGAAACCAGTCAATAATCATATCTTTGACAGAATAAAAGAACTTTTTCCTTTTTGTGTATTTTTTAAAACACAAATCAATAAATCAAGAGTAAAGGATTTTTTTTTTTTTGTAGTTGACTGCTATTAATCTTGAGAGATTATTTAAATTGTCTACAAATTAAACTGCAAAAAAACATTTCATGGAAACAAAAATTTAAACGTAATTAAAAATAACACAATGCAAGAATAAAATTATGGTAGGATGAGTTTTTGTCTTATGAAATATTATTGTCTCACAAAACTTTTTAATTCACAGTTTGTAAAATATTTTTGTTCTAGGAAAATTTTATTTCATGATAAACTTCATTTGTTGGTTGAAGATCATCACATTTTTTAGAATAATTGTGTTTCTTTTTCATCTTCATCCAATATATAACTTGTGAAATGTTTTTGTAATTCATAACTTTTTGATGAAATCTTGCCTCAGTAAAATGTTTTCATTGTTTAGCATCATGTTTTATGTGGTCTTTAAATGCATGTGCAGTTGACCTTTGGGGCCACCGTATTACAGCAAGCTTCAAATCACTTGAATGTCGTTGAAATCAGCAGGTTCAATCTCTTCAGACTGTCGCAAGTGTGAATAAATATGGTAGATTTTTTTGGATACTGGCATCATCTATCTCTTACTATTTAAGCAGATTGAGAGGACTGGCTCAATACATTCACTTCATACTGACATCCATAAACCACTTACCCCAAATTTCATAAGTCTATTCAGGTGTAAACATCATGTTTTGACTGCAACATGTAACTTTTTTACTATAATAAATACTCATATAACCTTTTATTTGACTTTTCTATCCAGGGGTCCTTATAACAAAAGTTTTGGGTGACTGTTGTTGCAGTATTATGAGCTTTCCACAAGAATGATCTCATGCACTGTACGTTTGTCTTCATGGAGATAGAGAAGTATGGACAACAAGGTTTGGCATTCTTTAAATGTCACATTTAATGTTTTCTTTTTTCCAGGTGGCAGCGCCTGGGTCGACTGCACACGTTCCAAAACGACTGTAAATAACTAGAAACCTAGTCTTTTACTTTGACTTACAGTGCTCCATTGCAGAGTTTAATAGATACGTCTATGTACTGTATATGTATGTATATATAAGTTTTATTCAAATTACAGTTCATCTGATTAAAACATCAAATATACAAACATTGTTCAGGACAGCAAATTATATGAATCCAAAGAGTTCAGTAGTTGCTGCGTTGCGGTTAGTCTCACACAAAGTTTGTCAGTTATAACTCTACAATTATCCAAAAAGAGCATCATTTGATTCAAGTACTTCATTCCAACACAAAATAAAACATATAGGAAACTAGAATATCTACACAAAGAGTTCAAACAGGCAACATGGAGGGAGAGTGACGGCCTGGACCAGCGCTGGCTGTGCTCATTCCTGAGAAAACTACCTTTCAGTTTTAAATAAACACCCAGAGTATGTCTTCTTTCTGCTGTAGAGAAACACAGATTGCTGAATGGGAGAGAAATAATAAGAAAAGTAACAAATAATGACACTGTGCAGTTATTTTTAACAATAGCTGAACAGCAGTAACTTTTCCTGGTGCCTGGGGGCTAATACATAATCATATATATGTGTATATATATATATATATTCAGCACAGACACAGACACATCCCATTTTTCTGACAGATTGATCAGGGTGTTTTTTTTTTTTTTTTATAATGGTTTGGCCATTTCACATTTAATTTTCAAAATGAGTTGGACAAAATGCAGTCTTTATTTAAAAAAAAGTGATTTTTAAGTAAGTTGAATATTTTAATTTTTTTTCTTTTATAACGGCTTGGCAAGTGTGCAGCTTTTTTTTTTAATGTCGGATATTGCAATTATTTTCCCTAATGGGTTGGACACACTGCCACTATTTTTCAGAAAGGTTTTGGCGATGTGCAGTTATTCTACTTGATGGTTTGGACACAAGGGATATTTTTTAATAAAGTGCAGTTGGCCACATGATAGAAATTTAGTATGATTCAGTCTCAAAGAGGTCTTAGTGTGGTCAATGTTTGGTTACGTAAGAAAGGCCAAAGAATGTTGAATATACTGAAACTAACACTGACATCCAACAGAAAATGAACAAATTCAACAAATTCATATTGTGATAAACTAGACAACACATTAAATAATTTTAAAGGCTTCTTCATGCTCAAATCAAAGTATCAACCCTTTTTGAATAGGCATGTTTTCTTGATTTTTTTGTGTCATGCCAATTTTATGTTGAAGGCCCATTTATTCCCCCAGAAAATATTTTCCCAATGAGTTTATGATCTCAATCTCTAGTTTTAAGTCATGGTGTTTGCTTTGGGAAATAAGAGCCCATTCAAGTCAAACAGACCAGAAAGTAACAAAGGTTTTGGGCAGAATTTGGAGTTGGCTACAGTGTTGTATGAAGATAAAATACAGTGTCGTCTGCATACAAAAGGAATACTGCAGCTAATCAGATAAAAAGAAAAAAAAAAAAAAAAAAAAAGAGCACTCCCTTAAATATTAGAAACAATAAGGGGTCCTTTTATAGGTCTTTAAAGTCTTCCAGCTCCTTTTAATACCACACAAACATTTAATGCCCAAAAATTAATAAGTCTTTCATTCTGTCATCATTGTCCGACTTTTATCTGCTAATGTTTAGATGTCAGTCTAGTTTAAGATATCCTGATTGGATTAAATCCTTCGATATCCCATCTCATATGGAAATAAGAAAACAGGCCATGAATAAGTTGTGATGTGAAGCGCTTAACCAAGTCGCGGACGCTGATCTTTGAACACAGCTGCTTAGGTTTGAGCGGTGACTCTCCCTCCACGCCGGCTCTGTTCTATCAAAGAGTGAAAATCGACTAACAGTCAGGGAACCCTTGGCTATCTGAAGGACTGGAATACAAACATCCTATCATTCAAAGTCTCAGGTGAACAATCTGCACCTGATGAGTGCAAGAAGAGAGAGCGGGGGGAGTATGGAGTCCTAGAGGGGCCAAAAATATATATATATCTTTCTGCAGAACTTACTTGTTTCTTCCTCTATTTCTGTATATATTTATTTAGTTGATTTGAAAATAATTACATTTTAGTGATGTGTAAATTTTTACTGAATATTATTTTTCCGATTAAAAGTCTAAGCAGGGGGACTCATAAAGAAATATAAATGACAAGAGATAAAGAAGGGGCAAAGAAGGGGCATGGAAATAAATAGATCTGATAAAATTTTAATAAATTATTGTAACGTAATTATGAAAAAAAATATGAAGACTGAGAATTATTGCAAATTAAATTGCCAAAGGCCAAACAAAATCAAATATAGATTCTTAAATAAATACAGAAATAAATGAACAAATTAATAAAATTACATCTTTTTGTCTCTAGTCCCGTTTTTTGTTCTTAATTTTATGTCCGTCATGTATTTAATTTTCTTTTACAGATTATTTTTGTTATTGTTTTTTGGCACTTCTGTGACTCCATACAGAAGAAAGGGGAAGTATGTTTTATCCTTTCAGTATAAAAGCTTGAATAGACATTCAAGTGTTTTAAATGGATCCCCACATAAAGTGAGAACCACGTGGGGGGTAAACAAAGCCAAGATTTAGAGCTCCAGAGGTAGAGACCAACACGGTGAGTCCTTTATATACATATTCACACAGTGCTTCTGTGATCATATCATTACCAACGATAACAAAAAAAGGCTTCTGCTCGGATTTATCTACAACTCTGCTGTACACGCCACATACAGCTAACACCACTGTGGATTCTGTGGATCCGTACAGGCTCTGCTGTCCTCTACAGATCCTAGTTGCAGGGTAAAAATCAAGAAAATATATACATTTGTATGCAAGTTTTAAAAATAAAATTAACTTCACAGCCTTAGAAATGTGCAGGCTAATACAATTTCTATACAGTGGTACTCTGGTTCAGGTTGGTGTGTAGATCTGTTTTCTATGTAACATATATACACAATCTTACTCTGAGTGTGAGGAAAACGCATGCCGTATGAGACACCAGAACAGGAACAGAAAACAGGTCTAAAAATATATTAAATAATTTACTTCAAAGCTCTTTTTTCTGCAGACAGTGTTCATATGTGAGGAGGAGAGGGGCACACGTTAGCGCTGGGTCAGCATGATTAAAACCGTTGTTTATACAGCGTATGCTACTAGCTTCATCCTGTGGTGAGCTGTGTGAATAAATGCATCAATGACAGAAAAAGTTGGTCGATAGTTAGTGGGGAAGAATTCAAGTAGACAGAACAAAGAATGAACAACTTCAGAGAAGGAATTTGCTGGTTTGACAGCATCTGTAGCTCGGTTTGTTTTCTGTTTGTAAAGAAATATTTTGTTCAGAACGTGAAGACAGTCTGACTTTATCATTCAAGCAAGGACAAGCTGTGTGTCACTGAGGATTTCTTTACAATCTGGGTCTTATTCTTGGAAACTGTGATCATCCTACTGCTTTAGAAATGAAAGAGTAAAGGCTTTCAGTAGAGATGTACAAGAGCATCAAAACACCATTATTGGCGTGAAGTTGTGCCAATAATCCATACCCAAAGCAAAACTGAAGCAGGATTTGAGAGGATAAAAACAGCATAATGTGTCCTTTTTTTCGAGTAGAAAAAATAGTTTGACTTTCAATTATCCTAGACTTCTTACTGCAGCTTCAAATCTTTACGGTAAAACACAAAAAACATGTGAAATGACCATAACTAGGTTGCAGATACTTGGAAGCTGGAATTGTGTCTTGACACAAGAAACCTTTCTGAACCCAAGGTGAGGACACAAGACCTCTATGTTTGACACTTGGGTTATTATAAACAAGATTTAAAACTATGCCCCAAAAATGCGCACCTATGTATCAGGGTAATCTGGTGTTTTAGGCTTACTTGCTCTTATGGTTATTTGTGTGACGAATTCTGCATCTGTAAACTTTCACACTCCTCCTATCAAGTCCTGCTTTTCTTGCGCTGTAACCATCTTTTTCTTTAACTAAACAGATTGGCAGCTGGGATCAGATTTTCCCCAGCAAAATTATTTAAATGAAGTCAAAACCTGAATGAACTGAACTTTGCTACCATCAACACATTTAAAGACGCTGCAGTGTTTCAGTGTAAAGTGTGACCTTGTTTACTGGCGACTTTTAGCCAAATGCGTCTCTTTTAAATGCCTTTATATTTCATGAAAGGCATATCTGATGAGTGCATTTTGACATTATAACAAAAAGCTAGACTCAGTTGCACTCACAAGGACTCTCTCTGTGTTTCAACAGCTGTTGTAACCTAGACAACCATTGACTCTTTAAGCTGAGTGCTGCCACTTAACAGGGTCACTGGCTGAAAAGAAACATGAATTATGATCCTGTTGGAATTCTGGAGGACTTGCAATAACCTAACAGTTTGATGAAGGGAAAGATTTTAACTCATGTTTAGAGCAAGCTGACTCATCTGGAGGAAAGAAACAAAATGCTGCTTCTGTTGCCTTCAATGCATTCACATATTTTTATGACTTCAGCCATAAACGGGTCTATAAGAGCTCAATATTAGTTAAGTCTACAGAATAGCTACAAGTATTTCAGTTTTGCATAGACACTTGTTTCCAAATGGTTATCATTATGCAAATAAACCTTGATTTTAAGTTAAAAAAGCTACTGTTGATTTGAATTTCTAGACTCAAGATCATTTCACATATTTCTGTAAGACCAAGTTTACTCTTGGAGATGACTCTGCTTATAAGTGAGGTGGATGGCATGTCAGCTATGTGGTCAATAAAGTAACAAAGATGTCTTCTGTTACAAAAATAAGACCCAGATTGCATTTCTTTCTGACACTAAAAGCTCCAGCGGGCTTCAGAGGTCACCATTTAACTCAGTACTTATGTGCCGTGTGGAGACAGCAGGCAAAGCACAGGTGATGCTGGACTGTCCCTGAAACATACTGAGCTTAGTAAACCTTTCTACACCAACTCTTTGGGGATCAATTTGTTCTGAGAGGTTTAGAGATGCAGTCAGAGTGGTGTGATCAGGAGGCACGCATGAGGACAGCACACAATCCTTCATAATACAACACTTCAGTCAGGCTGACAGGACTCGAACACACTCAGTATTAGCAGAGGAAGGGTCATGGGTACCAACATGAAGAGAGAGAGGAGCTCCTCTTCTTTTAGTCTGAACTGTTAAATTCTCAGAAAGAGTTACACTTTTATTCATGTAACTTTCACTTAGCTTAATTACTTCTAATCAATATAAATCTGTTCATTTTTAACCATTTTCCACAATATTGAGAAAAGTTGACATTTTCAACTTCAATACTATTATAAAAGAGCCTCATGTATAAATGTGAGTCAAAATTAATCACTGGAATTTGCTGTAAGAAAAAAAAAAGCTGAAAAACATTTTCTTTTCACAGCTAAACATCCATGAAACCAATAGTTATGTTTGTTCCCTGTACAAGTTTCCAAACAGTCTGGAGACCTCTTTACAGTTTTGTTTCTCACATCTTCTTTCAAAGTTCTTGCTTTGTTATTTGATCACAGCCTTAGTCAGCCATAACAGTAAATCAATGAGATCTCCAAGGCTGAAATTCTGTCTTTTGATTTTTAACCTCAGAGGCATTAATTTTCATTTTGAAAACATTGAGCCATGTGCTGTATTGGGGTTATTTAAAGCTACTGTGAGGAACTTTCTGCTTTGGCTCCCACTGTGGACAAAGTGATATCTCTCATAGGTTTGCTTGTTTCATCCTGTAAAACAAATCATGTTTTGTAACAAACAAAACCTCATCTCTCGTTTTGAAATGATCAGATATATCACTATTAAATAAAAAAGGAAAAACAGTATAGCGTAATGTAATTATAATGTGTTAGATTTGTAAAACACTTCATGCGGGGAAAAATATCATTATGCATTAGATGGGTGCATAAATTGTTTGTAGTTTCACAGCTACTGCCTCTGTTTTACATAAAAATCAATCTTGGACCAGTTGAGGTCAGAATAACACAACCATAACATATTTACTGCTTCTAAATTGTGCCAACTGTTTTCACAAATTTTCTTGCCAGGGCATCAGGCCACAATATTGCTGACTGTATCCAAGTGGACTTACAATAGATGCAGTCTTTCTCTGCATTCTTGCAAACATCCAGCAGGGGGCGAACTCCACTGGTAGTTTACGGTCTCAATTTTTAGTTTGAATTCTTTAATACAGCATGATGTTCATTTAGAGTCACACAGAGCAGAGACAGTGGACTAATAAGTTGGCAGCCTCAAAGATTGTTTTAAGGGTTGGAGGAATTCAGTGTCAATTCTTTCAGTAGGTACATTCTTTGTATAGCCTGACTTAAGCTAGTTAAAATGTGCTTTCTAGTTAGAGTCACAGCATAAATGAAAGCTGATCTTACTGGTGGTAGCAGATAATCTAGTTTTTGCTGACCACTACTCCTTCCTAGCTCCACCCTCTTGTCTAAATATGGTCATTTTTTTAAAACAAACAAAAAAAGAAGACAAAAACTACAAAAAAAATATTCTTCAACTTCTGTCTATTGTATGATCAAGTTTGAGGGATGTGATAGCTGAGAGTTTTGTAATTTAGCAGGGTGATGTAATGATGGAACAGGTAGGAACGCCTGTTAGACACATGACATATGAAAGTATGCTAAGAGATTAAATTTAACACCCCCAGCAATCTTTGAAATTTGAAAATCATTTATACATGAGGCTCCTAATCTTTGGCAAATTATTTTTCATTTAAGTAAAAAAAATGGCCAAATGTGCATTGGGACTAAGGGGGGCATGCAATAACTTATTCCTAAAAATAGTATTTCAATATGCCCAAGTGCATGTTCTCATATAAACAGGGATATCTTCATTGCCTCTAGCCTCCAAACACAGTTACAATCGATTGTCTGAATAAGAATTTGGATTTGGTTCACCTGTGCAAGGATGAAGGTGGGCGTAATAAAACAAAGAGCCTGCTTATGATTAGAGATGTTTCAATACTGACTTGCCCCATCCATAACCGACTCTGATACCTGGATTTGCTCATCTGTACACACAAAGAAAGAGATCCATCTCTTTCTTTCAAAGCTGCTGAAGCTTTTTATTCAGAGACTTTGGTTGTTTGATCAATAGGTCAGAGTGGAGGATCTCAGCTCATGTTAAAAACCTTGTGAACAAGGGAAAATAAAACAAGGAATGTTTTCCTACAAACAAGCAGAGCACCTACAAACAGGTAGACTAATGTGAGCAGCAGCACCTGTGGATTTTTCAAAATAAACCCATTTATTCAGTGTGGCTCTGAATAATGTTACATTAGCTGCTTTGCTTTGTTGGTTGCTATCACCACATCATCACTGACTCAACATTGGTTCTCTTTCTCTGCTCTAAAACAGTGGTAGCAGGTACCCATGACACCTTATACATGGGAGCAGCTTGCATTGTAGGACATATTTTTAAAATCATTTTAATTTTCCTTGATTGCCTTGTGTTAGTGACTTATCAAGAGCAATTTGCAAACTGTGTTTTGAAATTCTAAGCAAATTAATGTGTTGTGATTACTATTCTTGGGGTAAAAGGATCAGTCTATTCTATGGATTACGGTATCTGATCGGTGCATAGACTGGGGTACTTATGTCTATTAGAGACATTTCTGTTCTGGTTTTGGCATTGGAGCATCTCTAATCATCACAGGTCAGTTTAAATAGACATCTTTCTTTAACTTTTACTAATATACTGTATATATATGGTAAAAGAAACATACTTCATTAAAATGTAATAACAGTAAAATCGAGCAGTAGGTGATCAGATGGGTTTGTTTTCAACATTCTGATTTGGTCTAGAGTTTTCTCTCATTCATGTGTGATATAAACCCCTCTGAAATCCCCGTACCACACACACACACACATACATACACTCATATATAAACGCTCAGTGGACTTCATGAGTTTCAGCAGACCTGCAGGTGAGTCCTACAGGTAAGTCCTGCAGGTGAGTCCTGCTCTCCAGTGAAATGCTACGCAGAAGACATTGTTGTTCCCGGGTTAGCAGCCTGTCAGGACACATGTGATGAAGAACAGCAGCAGTTATTCCCACACCAGTGGAGACGGAGGCATCTCGGAGGGCTGAGCCACCGTAGAGCTGTGGGCGGAGACACCAGAGTGGGCGGAGTCATTATGAGTCAATCATGTGAGCACATTTAGTTAGAGGTAGGATTTATAAAGGTTTGGAGTACAAAACAGTTTTATGGTTTTTACCTGATGAAGCTTTTGAAAGCAGCTGACTGGGGATTTATGCAAAGTGGCACTCGACTCCCTTTCTGCTGCTCCAGAATGAACTGATGAATGATCTCTGTTGATATAACATATGGACAAACAGAGGACAGAGATAGGAGTTACCCTATTATTAAATAGCTGCAGGTCAAATAATTCCTATGGAGCTCTCATATTGTCTCACTTTCAAATAAGGCGTATTGGTCAACAAATCAATTAGTTTAGCTGGTAAAAAGACAAAATGTCTTATTTTGTTCCCAACCCAAAGTCACTTAATAGTGAAAAAAGGTAACACCAACATAGAGCAGGCATTTTAATAACCGAGTTGAAAGGATGAACTATCAGTCAGAGGAGATGATGAATCCAATACCAAACAACTTATCCTTCAACCAATGGATTAACTTCTCTCATCAGGCATGTAGTTGACACTTGAAAGCTGCTCCTTTTCACAGGATTCAAAAACATTTTAAAATGTCCTCGCTGTCAGGCAGAAACTTCACATCTCCATATTTGATTGGTTTGATTTTTTTTTTTTTTTTGCATTCATTAATGATATTAATACCTCTAAATGCCTGTCAGTTGGCTCTCTAACATTTAACAAATGAAAATTGTTAAAACAGCTTGTGACTAGATCTCATGCAGTGTTAATTATGCGAAAAACAACCTCCTGAAGACAAAACAGTTCTGCCTGATGGCGACAATATATCTTTAAAGGCTAGAAATGAATCTTTAATCAACAGTAAACAAACTAACCTTTGACCTGTCTCACAGAGCTCAGGTTCTTCTCAAAGCCGTCATCAAACTTGGGGTTTGTGACAGGCTCGAAGTCACTGGTGTAAACGCGGCCAGATGACGTGGTGTAGCAGCATTTGCACATGCAGGTGTGGTAGCGCAGACGCCCCTCATCCAGGTATGGGTGAGCCAGGGCGTCCTTTGCTGAAATCCTCTTTGACTAGAAAACAAACATACATATTCAAGTTAGAAGTAATACACATATTCATTAATGAGAAAAACATTTATCTTAATCTCTGGAGCATCCATTCAGGTCTTGTTTTCTTAGGATTACCTCTTCATGGACTAACATTTTTTAAAACACCTGGTGTTTCTTTATTTGGACAATTTCTATTTGATGGTCTACAGTTAGAAGGTGAGCTTCAATACGCTAGACATTCACAAACTAACACTGCAGAGAAGACATTACAGCACAGCACTATGAATAGTATACTACAGTCTGTCCTCATACAAGTATCTGTACTTCCAGAGCCACATACAGAATCTATGAACTTTGTCTTCCTCTAGTTTAGACTCAAAGATGCAGCTAGATATCTCCCCCTCTCTCGGTATCTTCTATTCCTCCTACAGCAGGCTCTCTGTGTACATTTTGTTGTTCGGTACATATCTTAATTACACCTGGGTGACTGACTGAGTGGGTTTCATTCATTAAAAAAACATCATGCAGATCTATGTATAGCAGCGTGACTCACCGGATCAAACACCAGCATCCTGCAGAGGAGGTGGACCGCTTCATGGGTCGCCTGGCTAGACAGAGTGTAGAGAACAGGGAGAGATGGCTGCAAGGAGAAAAACAGGAAAACATCAACCATCCTCCCCCAGATCTTCATCATTAATATTCTAAAAATTCTGAATCAAGCCTAAACTGTCAAAGTCTGAATGAGAAAATTATACTTGTGCAGAGAAATTCTTGGTTCTTTCTTCCTCCTGTCACTTTCAAGAACATGTTGGTGCTGTTTTTGTTCTTGTTTTATGATTAAAACAAGAACAATGTTTTATGATTCAAACATGTATCTATGATGCAAGTGACTCAGGTACAGACTGTTCACCTGTTTGTGAGGCCCTCTGAGGATGTGAGCACGAGCTCCTTCACACGCCGTCCTCATCGCCTCCATAGACGGAGTCCCCAACAGGTCAGTGATTAAATCAAGCTGCAGAACAGACACAGACAAATGATTGTTAAAGGTACAGGAACCTTATGCTTTATCGTTTTTTCCTTTTTATTTAATCCAAACAATTCTAACAAAATATAGTTACTGACACTGCATCCTTCATCACAGTACAAACATGACATTTGCTCTTTAAAGCCTCGGCATTGTACATACTGAAGCAGTATTATAAAATAAAAATGAAAGGCTATTTTTGAGTTGGGCTGTCTGTTTACTCTCTGCCAGCAGAGCCTAAGAAATTTCCAAGCAACTTCTTTATGACTGATTTTAGTCCTGTGGCTGTGAAGATACCTTTTTTTAAATTATGATGACTTTTTAAATCTGTTTTGGAATTTAAATGTCAGACATTTCAAGTAATTAGATGAGATGCAAATTATTTTCCCAAAGGGTGAATTTGCCTTTGCAATAGTGCAAGGAACATCTATGCAACAACTGCCTTGCACAGACTTTGCAGAATCCCATATCTGCATGCACTATTTGCAATATGTAAGTACAGACTACAAATTCATATTCACAGTCTGACAAATCCATATATCCTGATTATAAACCATGGGTTTGACTTTGCATCCTATGTGCATGGATGTGCAGATGGCTTTTTTTAGTTTCTCGACACCCAGCACATGGGGTCGCCTCACAAATTGCTGCAGATTTCATTCCACACTATCGTGCATTGTTGCCATACTACGTCACGCCAAACCTTGTTCACATGTGAATCACCTTTAGTGGGCGGGACAAAACATGCCTGTGTGTGTAATGAGAAAGCTGTAGGTGCGTCATGTGTGTGTATGTGTGAAAGAGAGGCAGGAGGTGGATATCAGAAATATAAAAATAAACTGAGAAAATTGAATTTATTCATGAACCTACTCAGGTAAGTTTTAAAAGAAAGCACAATTGATTGATGAACCAACCTAATGATAGAAACAATAGATAGATGATGTGATGTAATAGAAAAAAAGATTTTAAGATCCCTGACACCCCTGTCATCACAGGAAAACTCAGAGGATCTTGATGCAGGAATCCAGATGATCAAAATAAGCTTCATCTTCAATGTTTCACATGCTTTTATTATTGTATCTTAAAAGAAAATTGTACTTTTAAAGCACTTTCTCCACTCATCTGACCACTCCAAGCACTTTTACATTCACTGATAGCAGAGGCTGCTTTGTTAAGAGCCTATCCGTATAAACCAATCCCATTTATCTGCATTCAAATCTTTTATTCTCAACTTTAAACTCTCCTTGACAACCACAAGGATTTTCCATTTATCAGAAAGTTGGGCCCACAGCTCATTAAAATGTTTTACGGTTAACAGCTACCTTATTCATTTGCAAAGTGCATAATGACCTAAATGTAAAAAATTTTTCCTTGAAGCACATCTGATAAAGCCTGTCTTAAATTCAGGGTCTGGATTTTACAAAGCCAGTATTTGTTCACAGCAGAGAATGGTTTCATTTATCGGTGAGGTGACTTATGACTGAGGCAAGCCACCGCTCACAACTACAGGCCCAGGAGGATAAAAGATGGTGAGATGGTGATCATCATCCAGAGCGAAGTGACTCAGAGTTAGACAGAGTTAGGATGCCTATTTTAAAACACTGGTTATCAATGCAGAGGAGACACTAAACACTCACTGTGAACTAAAATTTGTGTTACAAAGTTTAATTATCAAAGACGACAAAACCAGTGTTAAGTATGTCAGAGAAAACAGATCAAAGGTATTTCCGTCAACCGTCAAGAGATCTATCCAATATACTGCTTTAATTTTTGTGTTATTGAAGTCCTGACATCAAAAGTGCTTTACTCTGATCATGTTACCAATAGACTCCTGTTGCAGAGATCTAAGTAAATTCCTGAAACTCAGTATAAATAGCTACATGTTTTTTTTAGAGCGTGTTCAAGACACTTTTCCTCGGGATTTCCCGAGGAGTGAAGTCTCCTCTGGTTTCTTTCTGTCCTCTGAGGTGACAGGTTACCTGCTGGATGGGGCTCTGGGCCTGGAAAAGGATGCGTCGGCCCAGCAGCTCGGCGAAGATGCAGCCCACGGACCAGATATCGATGGAGTTGGAGTAGTGGCGGCTCCCCATGAGGATCTCTGGAGCGCGGTAGTACTGCGTCACCACTTCCTGAGTCATGTGGCGTGACTCGTCTGACTCCTCCACCCGGGCCAGGCCGAAGTCACAGATCTGGAAGACGATGTGGTGTTAGTAGAGCAGCTTTTTCCTCCTCACAGCTTTATTCTGAACGTCTTTCTCCATCCTCAGATGGAAACAGGCGCTCTGTGTGTGTGTGTTACTCATCAGGCACAGGAGGTGTTACATCATGAAGATTCCCACACACTGACTATAACGGGGAAGTCCACGCATATTTATTAAAGAGCATCCCTTATTTTTAAACTCTCTGAACTCTGCCAGTGCGTGCATTGGTATTTTTATTTTTTAAGTAAGACGTCATTACTGAAACTTTCCTCAAATTCTTCACATCACGAAGAAAACCTGGTCTTGTCTGATAAGGGATTTCAGCTGCTCAATAGTTGGGGGTCTCCTTTGTGAAATTTACATTTGCCAAGCGTTTTCAATGGGTTACCATTTTGGACATGAGGTAGGCCAGTTTAGCACCTGGACTCTTCTACTGCAGAGCCATGCTGGTCTTATAAATGAAAAATGTGGTTTTGTAATATGCAAGATCTCCTCGGAAAAAGGCAGTAAGAGGTCACCATATGTTAACATAATCCAGACACACCGTTGACCTCTCTAGCCCAAGCTCATTCACCATTCACTTACCAAGACTTCATTTGGACCTTTAGAAAAATATTCTGATCATTGAGTATTTCAAGAAAACAGAATTCATAACAGGATTTTTTTTTTCTTTTGCTGTGGATCATGATGTTCGATTGACATGATAAAACAAGTTGTGCTGTTGCTCTCACCTTTAGCACACAGTTGCTGTTGACCAGGAGGTTGCCAGGTTTGATGTCTCGGTGCAGAATGCCAGCAGAGTGAAGGTATTTCAGACCTGAAGGGAAAAGATAACGGAATGATATCACAGCTGAATATCCTGACTCTGAGCCTTTCTGTTGTCCAGCAGAGGAAGACTTCACTGGTTATAAGAACAGTCTGATTGTGACGAAGTCTTGAAGTTGATTTATTCCCTTAAGAGCTTATGGTCTCATACAGAGTAAAATGGGCCAGAGACCAGAGATTAACACACATTTTGTAAGTGAGAACGCTTTGAAATTTTCAGACAGACAAAACATTTAACAGTAAAATGAAGAGGAGCTCGTACCTCGTAGAATCTGATAGAGGAAAACTTTGGCGTGGTCTGAGCTCAGAGGCTGCGGTGATACGATGATCTTATGGAGGTCACTTTGCATCAGTTCAGTCACCACATATCTGACCGAAGGAAGATTAAGGCTAAACATAGAGTAAATTAAAAGCATAAAAAGGAGATAACTGAGAACTGGTGGAAGAAAATATCTGCAAAAGAATAAAGAACCTAAACTCACAAACTCTTTCCTCATGTCATTACTTTGTGTTTTATTAGAGTTTCAGTGATCCTTCACATACCCAGACTTTCTGTTCTGTGTGCTGTATTGTTTACTGTCCAATTCGCAATTAACAAAACAATTGTGTCCAGATCCCTCCAGATGCCTTCAAAACAAACCCCATCATTTCATGGTTCATTATATCCCCTCGATTAGCCCCCATGTGTATATTCTGGTAGGTCTAAGGGTTACTGTAAATTTTAAATGAAGGTAAATAAACCTAAGTCAGGTGGCCGCTGATAGGAGCTCGGATGTCATTACAGCGTATTGTGCTCTGTCTGCTTTTGCTCTCTATACAGGCTGTTTTTTTAAATACATCAAAACCTACGAATATCTGACTGGTCAATTCTGCTTGAACTAAAAACAAAAAGCTGAACACTTCATACATTAAAATCCTAACGTGGCCAGACTGGGGAATATGAGGAATGCAGGTTATCTCTATTGAAGGTCAGGTGCTATTGATTTCCTTGTGACATAAATGAATATACATTTTTTTATTTTCTAAATATTACATCTTCAGTATGACCCAGTCTCATCTTTTCATGATTAAGTTTTGAGCTAATAAAAAGTTAATTACTGATGCCAGCACAGCTTGTTGTGTCTTTTTCCAGGTTGCAAGGATCAAAATTTTGCTTCATTTTAAAGCTGATTATTGTTCAATCATAAAAAAGTGAATAAAGCTGATTTTCTAGTGATCTGAATCTATGATATTTTCACCTGCAGATTCTCTACATAAATATCCCTGCACCGCTGAAAACTCTCCAAGGAGGGGCACATCTTTGTACGCTGTATGATTAATGAACCCTGCTGATTTAAACTAATTTGGACACAGTATTTTAAAGCATCTCCGCAGTCAGGAAAGCTCGGAGTCAGCAGAAAACCTCAGCTATGGAGGGAAAACCACCTGATAAAGGCAGCTGCATCATGGAGAGTGGAGAAATAAACACAAATTATTACCCGCTGTGTGTGCACCCTGTAATGTGGAGAATAATCAAAAGACAGAAACAGCCTTCTCTGGACTGCAGGAATTTTCTCTGGTAGAGTTGAATGACCTCTTGGCTAGGACTAGTACCAGGACACCTCTTATATACACCAACTACCAGTGTTCTGTTTCAGCTGTGGAGCCCCTGTCCACCAATAACCAGGGAGTCTGTTTCACTGCATTTTGAAAAATGTTGCACTTAAGAGGGCTTACAAATGTCTTACATTATGCCTTAGAGCACTATGAACCCAAAGTAAACTTGCTTGCTGTGGTTTCATACAATTAATATGCTGAATGGATGCTTAAAATAACTCCATCATGACGCAGATTTCTAAAGTCCAAATTCTGGATTTTTTCAGGTCTTTCTGCAAAACGAGTTAAACATCTACAGAGTTTTGCAGACTGATGTTTTGATGGCTTTTGCATTTCTTGTTCACAAAAACTCCTTCCTCCCGTTGAGAAACTTGTCTTATTAATAAAGACATTTGTCTGACATGCATTTTTTCATCAAGACCATATATGTATGCCTTATTATGATGCACGAAAAATGGTTCAGCATGTGGCCTGAACACATAGTTGAACTTCTAATGAATATAACAGCATCGATCCAAAATAAACCGATTTTACAGGGTTTGTATTACAAGTAACAGGCTACAAAGATTCTAATTTTATGAAACATCATCACGAGTCTGATGTCATGGTTTGTCAGGTCTATCATCAAAATGAAGAATTCAAACTACCTGCATTCAGAGATGCCACTAGAGGGAGGTCACAAGTTCAAAGACAGAAGAGCTCAGACTGACTTATTGGAAATGTTTACCTTAATTGTCTTCATAAGTTTTATTAATAGAGTTCTATAAAAACACTGCTGTGGGGGAGCGTGCTCAAAATATATATTTTCTTGTTTTCCAAAGTAGAAAGTTGTACTTTAAACCACTTACGTCTACACTTTCCTTTGTTGGTTATTGTGTTTGTGCATGCGATTGTGTGTACTCGAGTGTGTGTGCATATGCTTGAGAGTCATTTTGGATCAGGCCCAGAAGCTCAAACAGCAAAAGAGGATCTGAGAAGGTAAGACGGATTTTGGCCAAATGACTTTCATTAGGCAGGCTGCCTCCTTTTTTATAGACCTGCATCAATACAATCTGTAAATATTCAGAGGATAAAACCCCCATCCCTCATCACCAATCTCTTTTTGTTTTGTAGGTACTAATGTGTATGGAGCCATTTCATTATGATAACTTCATACAGTTTCCCATCTATGTTGTGATTGACGCATCTTTCAACCCAGGGCACTCTGAACTGACCTCAGAGTAACTGTTAAAGGATACATTTCTTCAAAGTAATCGATGTGTGGAGGCTGCAGTATGTCCAGAGCAGAAAGCACCTGAGGAGAGAGTTCACAGGTAAACAACAGGAGACATCTTTTCTGCATGATTTCATCTGATCACAGAACCTTTGCAATTAGAAAAGCCACTAACACGATATCTTCAATACCTTAACTCCACCAGCATAATCAGATCAGACATGAATACAAGAATTGAGGTGAGATCTGGGGTGAATCTCAGGTGAAGCATGATCAATACATATCCTTCTGTCACAGGTTAGTCAGCTAAGAGAAATTTATTTTCTGATATCTACAATTTTAAACTCTTTTTTTGGAGAACTGAGTTTTTCTGATGCACCTTTAATACATAGAGTTTCCTTTTTTTTAAGGTTATCAATATGTAAATGTCTATAACAGAAGTGTTTGGGATCATTTTGAGAGACCACTGCTACTGAGGGTCATGTGACCAATAGATTTTACAAAAACATTTCTGAACGTTGTTTTACCTCTGCCAACTGGATGTGTTATAAACTAACCATTTAAATTACAGCAGATAATGAATGTTGCCAGGCTCAGTTTTTCAGTGAATCTGGGTTATTGACCTGATAAATTACAGAACAGATGAGGATATCCTACGTGAGAAAAAAATAAGATACATAATGTTTGCCAGTTGGCTTGCATCAGGATTACAGTCATGGTTGTTGGCTGTTTTAGGTACATCTATAAAAAGATGAATATTGTGGGAATGCTTTATTACTCATCCAGAAACCGTTCATAAAACATTTCAAGCCTTTTTGTTTTAATTTTGATGACCAGGGCTTAAAGCTCATCAGAATAAGATATCTAGTACTCCATTTTCTTAAAAAGGATAACAGCTCGAAAAGGAAATCAGCCTCTCCAAAAATGTCAGACAATAGGAGCATAAGTACTGGTGTTGGACACATGGACCAACGCCAGCAGGTAACATAGCCCCCAAATCATCACAGACTACAGAAACTTCACATTGGACAACAAACACACCTTGTGTTTTGGGTTTCATCAACCTTTCACCAGATTCTAGGACCATGATTTTCAAATAAAATGCTTAAATGACCTTTGTCAGAAAGAGTCATGTGACCACTAAGCAAAAGTCTAGTTCTTTTTCTCCCCAGCAAAGGTAACAGGCCTCAGACATGGTGTTTGGTAGTGCCTCGGTCCACTCTTCGTGAAACTCTCCCAAGTTTTTAAACTGACTTCTCTCTGCAATCCTCTTAAGGCTGCAGTCCTCACTGATGCTCTTTCACCTTTTTCTTTTCACACTTTCACCTTCTAGTCAACTTTCCACTGAAATATTTTTATACAGCACTCTGTAAACATCTAGCCTTTTCAGCAACAACCTTCTGTGGCTAACCCTCGTTGTGAAGGGTGTCCACGGTTGTCTTCTAGACAAATCAGCAGTCTGCACCATGATTGTGGATGTGTGTGATGACGTAGACAAAAAGATACACAGTGTTTGATTTGTTAAATACTTCTAACTCAAAATGAAATGCTCAAATATTTCAAGATTTTTTTATAGCCGTGTGCCATAATTTTTAGAAATTATAGTAAAAAATGCTTTGAAAATGCAAGTTTGCATGTAATGACTCAATATCTTGCCATATTTCACATTTTCTAATAACTTGTGAGACTGAAGATGTTGATTATGTAGATGCAAAAAGTACATCTTAACCTTTCAGGCTTGATGAAATCAGATTGACTCATACTGTAAAACTCATAATTTTGTCCAATTAGGTAACCCAGAAAAGGCTTTTGTATAGAAACAGCATATCTCATATAGTATAGCCAAGTAGTTTTGGCTTTGTATGCAAGTGCTAGACCCAGCCAGACAAGGAAACCAGCCTTTTCAAAAATGTCAGCCAATGGGGGGCATGAAGTGTTTTAAAACCTCCTGGTATCTCAAGAAAGGGTTTAGTTTTAAAACAGCATAACAAGCATTTTGTAGGATGAAAGTCAGATTCTCTTACATTTTGGTTATCTGACCCACAATCCTCTGCACAGTGCAGGACCAGTCATGTCGTCTGTATTTTCAGGGAAACCAGTTTTTCAACAATACTGCAGCTGACTATGACAATTTCTGCAACAGGGTCAGAGTCCAAGGTGCAATGTGACTCAAACACCCATTTTCTGGATAAAAGTCCAGAGTTCAGCACATTCACCATTCCCTTCCTTTTACTGGTTTATGCAGTTTTACATAAAAATTAAACAACCTGAAAAATGAAGAAATGGCATGAACCTATCTGGAATTTACTACTTTGAATCAGGCCCTGGCCTCACAACTCTTTCAAATCAAAGCTGCTCAATGTAATGAATGTAATGTTTGCAGCAGTCATTCAGACACAGGCCTTTTCTTGACCTTTAAAATCAAGTAGGACCATCAGTGACAGGACTGACTATTTCCATAGTTATTTTTAATGCATATAACTGCTGTGAAGGGGAAGGTGTCAGACTAGACAAGAAACAGCCTTTTTATGTAATATTTTTTCAGAGCAAGGATTCTTGGTGAGGAATATGGTAAAAGAAAGCAGGCTGGTATTTATTTTTGATAAATATCACCTGCACATGAATGGAAGAAGCTTGGGTATAATATGAGACACCATTCTGTCTTGAGGGACATTAAAAATCAGAAAAACCACAAGTTCTTCTTAGAAACTTTGAGGACAGTTTGATGATTTTATCCTGGGTACTTACGTTTTCATGTTTGAAGAAACACAGCATCTTCAGCTCTCGGAAAACCCTCTTACAGGAAACGAGGTTTTGGAAGACATTGGGCATCTTTTTGAGGGCTACTCGCTTCCCGTCTCTGGGGTCTGTTACCGACCTGGTAGAAGGGGAAACAACAAAGTCAGGTTCAGCCTTTAAGTCAGAAGAAGGCGGGTTTTGACCCTCAAAATCAGGGATATTTTTGTTTTTAAAACCGAGATACAGTCGAAAACACTGATATATTCTCATTTCTTTACATTTTTGTGTTTCTTTGTATTACATTAAATTTGTGTTATTACAGAAAGTTACCACAGCAAACAGTGAACATCTAACCTATGAAACTTCATTTTGGTTAAAGATCGCTGAGACAAACAGTCATAAAACTTGTCTCAAACTCAGAATCCTCAGAGGTTGAACCCTCTTCACTTTTGTAACCTCTCTTTCGATCAATTAAAGAATCAGTGAGTTAAGGAGCGCAGAGATCAGAGCCTCGTGAGGAACACAGCAGGTGTAGGTAAGACGATTCCAGCTCTGCACACCACAGCACTGTCCAGTGTAATCTTCAGTGAACCTTTCAAATAGGATCAGAGCAGGGGACAGATGGCACAGGACTAAGCTCCAAGACAACGCCGTGCCCCATACCCCACAAACAAGCTCCTGCTCTCCAACCAGAGGAACAACAACACTAAACACAACAGACACTGGGAAGAGCGGTGATGGTGTGTTTGACTCTGGGGGTTGTGTTCAGCTTCGATATTTTTGTTATTGCTTACTTGTTGAAGAGTCCCTGTCTGACATCAACTCTTCAGATTTATTTGACATTTCTGGACAAGGATCACTTTCATTTCAACATTCATGTCACTAAAGACCATCAAACTGAACTTTTTCATTTGTTTGTATTATTCTCTCCCCCTCTCTTTATCTCAGTCTCAATGCTTCTGTTCTTTTACCTTTGCTTTGATTAATCTGTTCTTTTTCCAAACATCAGCATCATGGTTTTATGATTTGTTTCACCTTATACTTGTACTCCCATCACATTTTTCACAAAAAAGTTTGGAGGGCCAGTTTGATTCTTTCTTTAATGTGTTTGTATGTGGCCCTCGTTAACAGCATTTGTATTACCACAGGAGATGCTGGTTAGCTTAATCCCTTTGTTGAGCATCCTGCTGGAGATCCAGAAAACCAGCCAGGCTATCAACCTTTGCAGATTGGGGTCAACTCTACACTTTGGTGAATTTCTTTGCTGACAGTAAGACTTTTTTTTAAAGTGCTGTTCACTTGCACAGACCACTGACCCCAAGACATATATGAAATAGTCATCTTCATCTTGCTGATAGATACGAATAAAAACGCTCCACTGTGATCTGTTGCAAAGAACATTGGCGAACCACCCAATTTCCCACCCATCTGAGGCACAAGTTCTGAAAGTTTTTGGAGATTTTATACTTTAATGTGCAAACACCTTAAGAAGGGAAACACCTTTCCTGTAAGTGTACTAAACCTTTTTCCAAAAATTTAACGATATGCATCAGAAAGTGAAGAACAAGAGTGATGCTGTGATTGAGAGCAATGGAAATTACAACACATGAAACATGCTGAGCCTTTGATTTGAACAAAATGTCAAATGCAAGCCATAGGGAAAATTAAAAAAACACCATCTACTATGAAAATCAAACTGAAAGCTGTCTCTGAAAGAAACAGAATAAGAACGAAAACCAAAGTCTTAATTCTGAGCTTTCTGATTTATAGAGGAGCTTCTTCAAATCTTCATAAATTATATAACATTTTTAAACATTCTTTGTAGATTCTCGAAAAAATTTTCCACAAATTTTGCTGCCTACTCTCAGCCAATCCTGTTTATGTTGCATTCACACTTACACCAATCATTAAATCACAAATCGACCTAGAGTGCATGTTTTTTTGACTGAGAGAGCAAGCCAGGGTCTGTGAGGTAAATTTTCTGGAAACAGGCAAAGCTGGAGACCTAACCCAGCAGTGCTGAAAAATTGAGAAATTCAAATAAGGATTATCTCTTCATGTCAAGGGTAAGCATCCATTATCTATACTGCTTATGGTATTCAGACTCGCAGGAGGGCTGACACCTATATCACAACATACTTAGACAGCACCCACACATGCACATGCCTGGAAGAACTCCACAAGAAGACCAGTGCAAGCCTGAAGGAAAACATGACTGGTATTAAAAAGCCCATTTTTACCAGCAAAATTATACAAATCAACAGCTTTTGTCACAAAGGCTCATTTCTTACATATGGAAAATGTTAGAGGTGAACATTTTCTGTTTATTCATTAAGACTTAAAGTTATGCATCCATTTGCATAATAAATGGCATGGTGAGTTGTTTGACAGGTTGGTGCATTATAGCTATTTGTAAGTGGCGAAGGGCCGGCCTCTGCTCCTCCTCTTCGTCTATTTCTATACTGATCAAAAGTTTGAGAGAGTCAGCATTTCCAATGATCGATGGGTCACATCTTACCCTTTCAGAAACCAACAAGTGACATGACTAAGACTAATTTTACAGGAAGTGGCTCAAACTCTGTACAGAAGATCTGTCATGGACCACATTTTCAGAGACTTTGCCTCTTTGTGGGAGACTGTATTTTGTTTCCACAGAAACCAAAAACCCAAACACTGTAAAGGCACTAAATGGAATTTTTTTTTAATGACAATTGCCATTTAGGAATAATACTACTTGGACTATTTTGATTTATGTTATTGTTCTTTATTTACTGCTTTTGTAACTTTGTCCATGTTCCTTTTCATAGAAAGGGTTTTAAAGAAGTGGTTCAAACCCTGAGCCCTCTTCTTTGGAGGACACACTGCAAACTTCAGCACCAAAGTTCTCACAAAGTGATGTGAGAAACAAGACAGAGGATTTTTTTAATCCTAATTTCTAACTCCCAACACTGGTGCAACGGGTCAAGTGCCAACAGCTGAAGAAACAGTCGTTTTTACAATTTCCAAAATAGTCACAGTAAATGAAACCCTTGCCCTCTTACAGTAATGTTTATAATCAGTATTTAACTTCGACATATGTTGTTTGTATTTTCAAATAAATAAATGAAAGCAAAAGAAATATGTGCCTGTTTGGGACTATTTCAGCAGCATATACTGTAAATCTTTATTTGACACTCAAGTATGAGGAGCAGGAGAAGATAATAATGTGGACTGGAGTCCCTTCACCCACTGCCACAGTGTGCCTACCTGATGTGTTCTTAGCAGCTGGACATTAATGGACCCCACATTTCTCACTGTGCTTTGAAAGACTCTTGCTATTGTCGCTGTATGTGAGCAGCCAAAGTCCAAAAGTACTGTTTAGCTTTTGGTTTGAACATACAGAAGCATCAAATCCTTAACTTGTGACAGTTTTTTGAATGGCACCAGCCATTTCAAAACCTTCAAATTAAAGATTTTTGATATTTTCAGGCTAGTTTAGATGAGTCTGCAAGCAGTTCAAGGGGTGTAAGACCAGATCTGCAATTTGCAGCTTTGCCAGATAATCTGGGTTCCACATTGGTACCAATGTAGACCCCAAACTAGTTTTCTACCCCTAATGTTAAAAAAAAATAGCCATATAAAATATGACCCAAGACTTTTGCCAGTCTCAGTCTGCAGCTGTATGGCAAGAGTATGACAAGAGACATGGATCACATTTTTTCTCTGTTCTGCAGGTCTCTGTAGTGCGCCTACACATGCAGCCAATCAGGGAGTGAATAGCAGATTGATGAAACAACAGGTCATCAGGTCATCAAAACTGTAGCTTTGCAAAAGTTCAATGATAGGGAAAAGAAACACACCCCAGGGCACCACATAGGCTGAAGAACACTGGGCTAATGCAAAGAAATGTTTGGAAGCCAAACTGAAATGTACATGCTTTACTGGACCCTGAACCTGGTGCTCTGAAAAACACACACAGTAAAGTCAATGTCAGGGTCCACATGTGTGTAGAGGAAACAGACAGATACAACAGCCTTCAGTATGCTGTGATATTTTGACACAAGGACCAAACTAACTATGGATCAAGAACCCCAGACACTTGATTCTACACAGCCTGTAATGCAAATCCAAACTACTAAGTACATGCAGCCAAAATCACAACAAGCATTTCACCCTTTTCTGCACAAAAGTGTCTGAACATAACAGCACATAGTATGTTCAGCATGTTAGCAGTGGGGCGGTGTCAAGGGGTGGCCTGAAATCTGACTGGTCACCTTAAGATCCCAAACCAGGATTGGCTACTTGTCTTGTCAGAGGCAGTTTTTTGTGATATTTACCTGGTTGGTAATATTTTTTTATCATTCTTTTCTTGGTGCTGCATTTGTCGACTTTGGAAAAGCATTTTATTTTGAGTCATCAAACAATCATCTCAGCAGACTTGACTGTCACCACTCCATTAAATAACACTTAAAAGTTAGAAATAAAACAAGAATATAACTTTTTTTAGCCATCATTTTTTATTTTTTGTGAGAAGTGGTTTTAACTCCAGGTTTGGGATGAGTCTCAATGTTTACCATTCCTGGTTACCCCCACAAAAGTAACTGTTTAAGATAGGCCACCCCAGTAAAAAATAAAGAACAAATAAAATAGATAAAAAAAACTTTGCTTCACTACCGGCCAGATTGCAAAGATGTTCTAACCTTTAAAAGTGCTAGTCTGAAAAACTACCTCAACTCTAAGAGTATCAGGTAAATTTTCATACTGGTACATGTGCTTTCCTTGAAAACACTGCAGCTTGGCATGCATGAAGGTAAAATGGACCAAAACATGAACGAACTCTGCTCTGTCTAGGAGGTGTATACAGTGAAGTGAACCTACCAAACGACCCCAAACGCTCCATATCCGATGGGTCTGTCAGGCTCTATGTCGAGCTGCTGTTGGAGGTGGTGCTGCTGCTGCTGGTGCTGCTGATGGTGATGGTGGTGGTGGTGAGCTTTGACAGCTGCTGCGGCTTGAACCTGTGCGGGAGCCGCGGCCGCCGCCGGCCCGGGGGCTTGCCCGGGTGCTGGGGAGGGAAAGTATGGCTGCTGCTGGCCGGGGTTGAGCATCACCGCCGCAGCTGCCGCCGTGGAGCCGTGCTGCTGGACCGTGTGCACGGCAGCGGCGGAGCCCGGGTGCTGCAGGTGATGCTGGCCCGCGTGGTGGTGGTGGTGCATGTGGGGGGGCGGGAGGTGCTGCAGCTGGTGGTGGTGATGCGGGTGATGGGCAGCCACTGCTGAGGAGCCACCGTTATAAGCAGCCATCATTTTTGAAACATTTGTAGCCGCTGTGCCGCAAAGAGCCATAAAATGATGCGGAAAGCGTCTAAAAGTGATGATAATGGCGACCAGGCTGCAACACAACCACTACAGAAACATGTAGAAATCAGGTCTGAGCTTTAAATGGTCCAACAACAGCTACTCTGGGTCTGCGGGGAGTCCCTCCTTATCATAATGCCAACCAGGATCTGACCCACTTCCTCTAAATTAAATTCTCTGCCTGCACACCATCAGGCTGCTGCAGCCCGGGGCTCATAACGGAAATCATATCATGAGCGCGCGTGCAGCATCAAACAGTGTATCCACTAACAATGAGAAACCAAAACACTGAAGAGAAAACAACCCGCGCCCCCCTCACTGAAGAAAAACTGTTTGGCCCTAGATGTCCCTCATGATGGAGGTGGCGCCCCCTCCCTCCTCAGTGAACCTCAGTCAGATTGAGAGCTTGTCACATGGGGGGCAGCGCGTTCATCTTTTAACTCAGTCCAAGTTTGCCTCGCGCTGTGATCCGGCTCCGGGGCTCCACACAGCATCTATTCCCCCTCAAACTGAATCCAGAGAGCCTCCCTGTAATCTGCGGGGCCGTGATTAACGCTGCTGATCCAGTGCAGAGGAGGTGTTTCCCAGCCCAGGCCACAAAACAACAGCGCGCACAGACAAGCAGGCAGGCAGGCAGGCCCAGGCCTCGGTCGTCCACCGCACTCACATATTATTATTACACCGAGCCACCGAGCCAAGCGCCCGCACACAAACCCCCATCAGCCGGACAGACACGAAGCTTCCACCATGACTCAAAACACAGGATAAATCCTCGGCGAGACAACTTATTTCCCCCATCGACAGCTGCCTGGTGCTCGGTGTGCGTCCTCCTGTCCTCCCGCAGGCTGGAAAAGCATCCAGGCAAAATAACAATGCGGGGAAAAGTGAATCCTGTTAATGCGGGATCAGTTCTCCTGCGGCTGCCAGGAGCTGGACAGGAGACAGTAGTGCTCAGCTGACAGCTTGGAGCTAATCTGTGTCCGTGTTATCCCCAAATCAAAACACAAGTCCTTTCGTCCGTGTCGCCGAGAGTCGGTGAGCCCGCTGCAGGGAGGGAGACGCTCCCCCGGCTGAACCGCTACTCTCTGGGCCCGCGGCGCTCCGGTGGAGCCGCTGACATGATAAAAGTATTGGTCACACGGCAACTACGATGAACAGTTGCTCCAACATGGTGAACAAAACCTCAGCTACTCGGCGGTGAGATTATTGGAGGTGTGTGACTCACGAACGAGTCGGCTTTTACGACCGACTCCTCGAAAACGAACAAGAGGAACCAGCCAAATCTATTTCCATATTCTATAGCCTCAGTTAAAACAAAGTTTAGTCAAACAAAAGGGTAATATCATTACAACAAGTGCATCACAGTTTACACATATGAAGTAGGGGTGGAAGAATATCGATGTCGCAACCAATCTTTGTCCCGACTTTTACAGTTGTCATATTGCCAACATAAAATATTTAAATACAGTGCTCCTGTCCAAATTCATACACTCACAACACTGTATGATCCCTAATGACTTAAAATCACACACTCTATCTTTAGGGGGTTATTTTATACTCTTTTGTCAGTCTTTATGATCATCTTGCAGTTTATCATTGCAGAATCATAGTGGGTCAATATAATAATAATGTTACATTAGGTCATGTGTATGAAGCCTATTCAAGGGATTTCACAACTTCTAATTTTTACCTGGTGCCAAAGTTTTAACTGGTAGACATTGAGTTTCTATGCAAAACAAATAAGAAAAACAGGAAGAAGGGCACTACTGAACAAGTAAAACTGTATTTAGTAATATAGCACAAGTAATTCACATTGCTTGCCTGTGCTAGTGTTCCCGCTGCTGGTGTTTCATTTTAAGACGATTATGTATAACAGGTCTATTTCTGTGATAATGTACAACAACAAATCAGAAACCAGGGATTCACTGGTGTTGGTGTTATCTTTGGTAAAGCATACAAATATGAATATGAATGCTGAAATTCATCAAAGCCAAGCTCAGTCCCCTCCACTGGGATATCTCCCATTGTTAACATTTGGTTGAATGTTGCCTACCGGCCTGACTAGTGGTGAAAGTAGTAGATTAATTGGTGAACCATCAATATGAGGGAACTGTATCATATTGCGTTATTATTTTTCATGGGAATACCACATCAAAAACCAAATACAGTAGGCCTAAATGTTCCTACCCTTTATGCTTTTTTTATTTGAAATATGTTATTGTTATCATCTTTTGTATTGTTTTACTTTGTTTTGTTTTGGTCACAAAATTAAGGTAGCCCTCTTGAAATTACAGACCTTTCTCTCAGGATCATGACAGGATGTGAAAAAAAAAAAAAATCACAATCTTACATCCTACAACAAATAAGAATCCAAGTCATCAATTAATGTAATGTATGTTTCAATTTCAGTCATTAGATATGAAAGGTAATGTAAATTAATATTATGCTAGAAATTATAGGGCATGATATGGTAGGGTTTTATTAAATAAGAACATAGAACACATAGGCTCCACCAATAAAACATTAACATCTAGCTAAACTTGGGTGTATTCTGCTACAGTGGTTCTATTTGAAGAGCTGTTTGGAAGCCACAATAGCCGGCTCTTTTTTGCTGAGTTGTGCCAAATGATCTGATCACTAAAATGAGGCGAAAGTCCCGTCTCCAAGGGTTATGAACGATGACCAGCCTATCAGCTATCGCAATGCAGTGACGTCATTGTAATCTCCTTGACTGTCAGTGTGTACAGCCAGTGATGGCGCGACCTGCTCGGGGGGGCCCGGTGACAAATCAACACGGAAACAGTGATAGGCCTTAAAAGTCAACTCTGCTCTAAATACCTGACACTTTGAATTGATTAGTATCATAAATAATGATAATAATGAGCAACGAAGGGAAAGGAATCAAGAAGAAGGAGACGAGACAGACATCCACAAATGTAAGAGCAGCAATATTTCTACCATCATTCCCCAAAATCACCATTATCACTGAAAGGTTTTTGGAAGTTGATCCAACTTTCCCTTTGCAAAACGATAAAAAAAAAGGTTGGATTCAGGTTTATAGCAAGCTAAGGTGCCTAATTCAAGTATAGGTTCAATACAGTGATTTATAACTTGCTGATAAAAATAGATTGACCATAGCAATTGAAAAGTGCCAACAGTACTGTATGAACAGGGTTAGTCAACAACTGATGGGTGCTATACATAGCAAACTCTACCATTAGTGTGTAAATGTGGTGTGATTGGGGAATGTGGCATATGATGTAAAAGCTCTCTAAGTGTTCAGGAGATTAAAGAAAGCACGAAACTCCATGAATTAATAGTTTAATATTATGACAGGAAAAGAAATAAAATGCGCCTCACCCTGCATTACTGCTCAGATCAAACTTTGTCCTCTTACCTGACTTACCTGGAAAGATCCAATGCACAAGCTGTAATTGTTCCTCACCAAGATAAGACACACGCATTATACATTATAAGTTAAATATATGTTATGTAAATGCTTCAATGAATATGCAGAATTGGTACTAGTTGAATGTGCTACTTTAAAATATGATTATGATGATGATAAAAATGAGGATGATTATCTTAATAAAAATGATGATAATGATGAAGGTAACAATATCGATGGAGATGATTATGTGATGATAAAAATGAGGATGATTATCTTTATAAAAATGATGACAATGATAATGATGAAGGTAACAATATGAATAATAATGGTAAAGGTAACAATATCGATGAAGATGATTATGTGATGATAAAAATAAAAATATTGATTAGGATGATAATAGTGATAAAAATGTTGATGATGATAATTATTAGGTTTACTATATTGACAATGATATTAATGATGATATGATGATGATAATATTTATTATGACAATGATGATGATGATTATGATGACAATGACTATGTTGATGATGATTGTAATTGTGATAATCATGATGATAATCCTGATTATAATTATAAGGATAATAATAGTAGGAATTTGATGAAGGCTGACTCATCATAAAGATTAAGGTCATAATGCTACTTACACAAAAAAGTGACTGTGCTTATTGGTGATGGTTTACATGGGGACAGTGGTGACATCTGAATATCAATGAAAAATAAGAAAACATCAGGTGTAAAAAGTATAACCACGTGTTTATCATTCTCAATCAGTCCGTCAGGTGGCATTGTTGTCATTTACCAACTACACAAATGAATGGCATAAGCTTTTTGACTTTGTTGGTGGATGTTTTAAGTTTAGTGCCTCTATCTTAAATTTTAACTGTAATTCGTCTCTTGATGGTGAAGTACAGCGATGTCTGGAGAAGTGTAATTGGAAAATTATTAAAACTTTCTTGACTACATTTTAAGCAGTGTCCTCTCACAAACTAGCTTCAAATTGATTCAGCTAAAAGCAAATAATGTATATACAAGCTTACAATACCAATGATGAGTATTGTAATTCTCCAAAACAGAAGAGAAATTGCAAATCTATGAGATGTTTCATCAGCCATGTGAAACAAAATAATGGGTGGTAACTTCTCACCAATAATTGTTTATTTGGTAGCCTGAGCTTGTAGCTCTAACCCTCCCTAGACAAACTGCTTGACTGACACAGCTGCAAGCTTTCATGTAGATGTTTACATTATAGGTTTTCACAGTATACCATTTCTCCCTCTGGCATACTGAATTCAAATGTCATATAATCTTTTTTTTCATTGTGTATGAAGGCCTTCAAGTTCCTACTCTGAGATGGTTAAAGCATAATGAATGGATAAAAAAAACGACAACAAGAAAAAGTAAGTCCTCTTTGATTCTCATATCACAAGTTCTACACTAACTTGTTTAGGTATAGACAGCAACTTTTACCAACATTTATTTCCTTTGATAGTTAGTCAGTGAGCATGAGCTTACGCTGACATAGTTATGTTTTTAAAATCAGAATAAACTTGGCAAGGAACAGTAACAGAGGCTGCTATTCTAAAGTCTTCGAATGTGACAGGTGGAGTGCCAAGGTACATAACCCACATAAAAAGTATGTTCTGTATTCATGTGTATTGTACCATTCATAATCAAGGGTTCAAGTCGGGTGAGGGCACTTTTTAACAGGGATATGTATCATGATCCCATGAACATTCACGCAGCGATGAGTACTGCTGGTAACATACTATTATCCATGCCTCTATTCACCATCTTCTATCACTGAAATATCTGCATAAGTTATGGATAACACACATTAAAAAACATACTGATAGCCGATGGTGGCATTTACATAAGGCAATCAGAAGCAAAAATCTGAGCAATTAGTATCCCCAGGGTGAAAACAGCATCCTGTCTCTGACACATGCTGTAGTTGCGGGGAGAGCTATTTGATTAAATCAGGTCAGGTTTAATGGGCCAGGCAAAACTCCCAAATCAGCTGAGAAGTGTTGGAGCTCTCATATACTGCACTGTAAATAAGATGCAAAAATTTTATGACCTTTACTTTTGCTGTTTAATGGTAATCGCCTTAACAAGGCCAACTAGCCTGACTTTACAAACTTGCATCTGCTCATCCCTAAGCATACAAGTTACACCCTGGTGTTACACAAACAGGGATTGTGTCTAGCTGATGCACAGGGCTTACCTTGAGGTGGGTCATACCTCTCAGCTCTGAGCCAGTACATAAGGTTACACCCAGGCGTACCTCTTTCCACCCCCACTCTAAACCTACTTACAGATCTCTTTGAGGATTCAACTGGACTCTTTGTTTGGCTGCTAGTTTATGTGTTGCTGCTTTGATCTGATGCTCTGCTGGTTTAGGTAATTTTTTGTTTTGCTCCGTAACACAAGACCCAGAAGCCAGAACACAAGAACCTGCCAACCTGCCAACCTGCTAACCTGAGTCCTGCCCTTCCTGAGGCCTTAAAAGGTAATAATCTACACAATGAAGTGAAATTGGTATGGGGAATTAATGTCAGCCTTGGGAATAAGAGAAGGGAGAAAGAAAGAGATAAGATTTTTCATTGATTAACATTTTTGTCGGTAAAAACACAACAAAAGGAGTATTAAATATCATACATGCACCACATCAGCCTCTGTCTTCAAAGGCTACCACCGTTTTGCTGATGTAGGGTTGAGGAAAGGAAGCCTCGATCAAGAATGTGCCAGCTATATCAATAAATATCACTCACCCATTCTTGAGAGTCGGGACAAAACATGTCCTACATAGAAAAGTCTA